ATATTTTTTCATTTTGTGTATTTTGCTCTATGAAATCGTGTGGTATTCAACGTGTTAACCACTTGCGATTGCGGACACCCACGTGCTCCTACCGGACAGCATATTTCCAAGGCGCTTTCCAATTTCTCCTAATATTCGCAGCGCCAGCTTCAGAACTTCAGCCGCTGCGTCCGATAATTTATTTCGTTGCACGACGTCCGTGTCAATTTTCGTCTGCCAGATTTATGACGCGGGTAATACGGTCATTGTTCTACAGATCAACCGAGTTGCACGCCTTGTTGCCTTTGGCACGGTCACGTCGGCCCGAAGTATTTATGGTCGCGAACATTTGTGAAGTTCCTGGCAAGAATAGGAGAGACTTACTTCTGACTCTCCTCCTTTCGCAGCTCCGGCACAGAAATTGCCGTGTCGTAAACCCGAAGGAAAGGTCAAGTTCGAAACGTGGACGCTGGGAGTTCATTTCCGAAATTAATGGCCCGTGCAGTGTCCTTGCATACCTGCGCGTCACGGCGCGGTGTAGGTCAGAGACTGGACGGTATTGAAATGAACTTTCGTTCCAGTCGATTGTGTCTACTTTCTTTTAGAGGTTTAATTTGAATTTGAATTTTTATTTATTTTTCGCGTTTCTGATTTCCTGGGAGATCGAATGTTTAGAAATACTTTTGTGTAATATAGAAATTTATATAAAATTTCGATTCTTTGGAGAAATTACATCTTGGATCTATGGTGATCTAACCCTTATTATTACTAAAGCGTAGTAAAAAAAGGTAAAGTAATATTGAAAAATATTAATATATTGAAAAAGATATTAATACCGTTAGTTATTAATCATATTAAGAAGAGATACTAAAGTAATATTGAAACATACCAATATATTTAAAACAATATTTACTGTTGATGTTTGATACTGGGTACCATTTTTGTAGAGCGGCAGAGCGGAAATGTAAATTTAACTCTTTAAACCCGTGTGACTTTGAAGTTACATATTAACCCTTGAAAACGAAGGAAGGCGACTGTGTCACCATTTGATTTAATTCGGTGAAACTATAAAATCTGATATTTAATGTTCGACTTTGTATAATGCCTTGATATGTGAAATATTGGTATAAAATAGCTTTGTTCCTCAATGTACTCGTGATTTCCCTTCGAGTCAGTTTCAACGAATATCGTCTTCGCCTCGTCAAAGAATGTTAAACATTTCTAATGAGAAACTTCCGAGTGCAGAGAGTTAATATATTGGCAACTTGCTGATTTATCTCGTCTTGCATAGCAAAGTGGCGAATAAAATTAAGTAGTTAATTAAGTTAAGCATTAAGTTTCGTATTAATTAATACGATCAGACGTAATATCATTGTAATTTTAGAATTAAGGGTGTATTTATTTTAATACAGTTATTAAAAGTATTGAATGCATCATTAATTTGTATTTACAGATTGGTATTTGTTGATTTTATACTACATAGATTTTTTTATAGTAAAAAGAAATTCGGCTTGTAGGAGGTTAAAACAGTATCGGTGTTTCGTTAAGAAAATGAGGTTACTGAGATACTCTGGATTATTGGTTTGTTTGTAAGTTGGTGACGAAAGAATGAAGAAAATCTTTTTTAAAATTAAGAAGAAATGTTTTATTAAGTTGAGAATAGAATTAAAAGGTGAAAATGGAATACAATATTTTGTATGTTGAAAATAGAATAAAAGAGTTATTACTTTTTATTCAAATGTAATGACTCATTATTTAACTAAATTTTCCATAATGCTACAAATTGTACGTTAATATTGTTAAAAATTAAAATGACAAGAATAACTTGACGAAGTCATAAATATTCACAGAATAATGATAATCAATAGTATATTTATTAAGAAAATCTTTATTCGTTCAAAATTTAACTATTCCATTTGCAAATAATGCATTTTACTTTCTAATGAACGATGACGCAAGACGGTGAAGGGTTAATGTATCAGTTTAATGAGACATGGGTTCGAAAATAGAACAAACGCTTGTTGCAGTTGGAGATTCACGCTGGTTTCCGAGAATTCTAGATTGCTTTTAATTAAGTACTTCTTGTTAGTAAGTAGGGAACCCATAGAAAATTTGTGTGAAGTTTAGACTTCTCTAGATGCAAAACAGAACTTCGTAAATGATATGTTCTCTAATTCAAAATATTCTTCAACTATAGAAAACAGTTATCATTTCACCTACCTATTATAATGCACCCACAAATATCTATTACTATTTATAACTAGATTAATTTATATCATTGTCAAATAACCTTTTCTTCACAGTAATTAGTTTTCATCTATTCTAAGAAATTTATACAAAACTTCGATTCTTTGGAAAAATTACATCTTGGATCTATGGTGATATAACCCTTATCTCGATAAATTTTAATATTTTACAAACGTGATATTACTAAAGCGAAGTAAAAAAAGCTAAAGTAATATTGGAAAATATTAATATTAAAAAAAATATTAATATTATTAGTTATTAATCATATTAAGAAGAAATACTACAGTAGTATTGAAAAATATCAATATATTTAAAAAAAATACTAATATTATTAATTATTAAACATATTAAGAAGAGAAACTGAAGCAATATTGAAAACTACCTTGTACTTCTTATTATTAAACGTAAACTGCCATATCGAATTTCGAATAAAACAAAGGGTTCATCGAACCTTATCAAACCTCTAACACACAACATTTCAGTTAATTATGTACATTACAAATACATAAGCATTTCGAATTTCACTGCATCATGAACGCAAAATAGCTCGGCACATTAATCCAAAATTAATGCAAGCGAACGTTTGTTTGCCCGTTCGCTATAAATATACGTCAGCGGAGTCTCACGAGTAAATCGGACTTATGGAAATGAACAGTTGACGAATAAATTCCAACGAATCCGATACGAATGAAAACAGTTTCTCTAATGAAGCAAAATGACAAACGAAACGTTACGTGAAAGTTTGTTACATTAACAATCTTGCAATCTGCGTATTTGAATTTACATTATCCACTATTTTGACACGTGTGGTATACATAGGGAAACACATTCCAGACTTCTATTAACATTCTGTATATTTTGTAATTAAATATCAACCAGTTAATAGGTTCATTCTTTGCACTCGAAAGTTTTTCACTAGAAGCATTTAACATTTTCTAATGAGATAAAGACGATATTTTTGGAAACTATCTCGAAGAGAAATCACACGTAAATTGAAGAACGAAGCTATTTTATTTCAATATTTCCCATATTGATGCTTTGTACGAAGTTTAATATTAAATATCAAACTTTACAGTCTTAATTACTGACAGTCCGTTCTCAAGTGTAAGGGATTAATCGGTTGCAAGTACCAGATCACCATGCGTTTACGATCTACAGACCTGAAATCCCAGGCATGAGACCACGTGTTACTCTCGCCCGCGTTTGTACGCGAAATTATTAGCAGGAATGGTTGTTGCAAAAGTTTCGAGAATCTGTTGTCATTCCGTTGTTTCTTATTTTCGTGAAGCTTCGCATTTTTAAGTTTAAAAATGCTGCCAAAATTTAGTGGAAAATGTATTAATGGAAAATTGTCGATAGTTAACTAATAGTTAGCTGTGTTGCCTTTTTTTAAATATTGTATGCACAGTATTTTTATAGTAATTTCACGCAGTTCTTTTTTTGTCCACTTTAATACAGCTTTGTTTCTAAATATCTAAAAATTCTCGAAATTTATGAATATATATTAGTTTCCACGTAAATTTTTATTTTAATAGTACATAATGACTACTTCGTACGCGTGACGAGTATACTCGTCATAATTCAAAAAGTTGCCATTTCTTCGTAACGAATGTACTCATTATAACTCAAACAATTACAATTTCTCTGTGACGAATATGCTCGTCATAATTCAAAAGGTTGCCATTCTTGCACAAGTATAGTCGTCGTACAAAGCTAATTAGTTAAGGGGTAATATTAAAGGAGAATATTTTAGAAAACAATAAAATCGTTAGTTTAAAACTTATGTGTGACTTTTCTTATTCTTCCCCGAAACTTTTGCACCAACGTGCGTAAGTACGAGAGTGTGACAGATGTAACGAACGAATGAAAGAGTGGCGAGACAAAAAATGCAATATGAGTGTCGTCCGTGTTGCGTTTTGTCGTAAACGTTTTTCCTCAACGACACATTCGTCGTCGCATCGGACGCATACGCGCGTTTTTTGCTGCGATCTTGGCATTGGTCCTCGGAACGATGCGTGTGCAGGGTCGATTTCCTTCGTTCAAGTTCGAGTAACCTTAGTTTGTATCAGTGAAACGTTTTGATGACGCGTTCGGAAGAATATTTATAACATATATTTTTTAAATTCTTTTTAAAATTAAGTTAGACCGTTGATTTATAATATTTTCTTTCTAATACCGAATAAGGTAATGGAATCTTATTTTAAATTGAAGTTGACTATTGAATTGAATAAACAACATTTAGCTAGAGGAAATGCCAGAATATTAGTATTCAGTCCTACCTCAAATTGAACTTGATTATTGAATGCAATAATTAATATTTAGGAAGAAGAAAGTATAGAACAGTATTTAATAATTAACTCAGTCACTGAATTTCTTCTTTCGTGATTTTCCAATCAGATTTAATTTTCTCAATTTTTCGAAACGATTCCCGAATTCTTTCAATTGTTACATATCATAAAATCCAATATTACACATGATTATTTATACTTCTTTCTATTTTCCCTAAAGTATTCTTTGGTAATATCAAAGCATAACAACAAATAAAGATTTATTAATAGAATTAAAAATTCACATGAAAACTACTATTTTCAATGAACTTATTATCGATTAATCATTCGTCGTTTCTTATAACCACTCGTATATCTTATCATTCTTTAGTGACTGCACACAAATGCGTAAAATCTGTGGTATGTCCACGATGAATGAAATATTACAGAAACCGCAGGATGAAAAAACACGAGGAAACAAACATTCGAATACCAAGTCTGACTCACCGCGTTAATTCCTTTCACGAATCATCCGTCATTGCGGTCGGTGGCCATCCGCGACGCCGTCGATACATCCGGTTTCCTCTTTAACTAACGGCCGCGACGCGCCAAAACCGAAACCCGCCCCCTGGATCGCGCGGTTCTATTCTTGCTTCACAAATACAAAATTCACCGTGAAACGGAACTATCACACTCCGGTATCATAAAATTCACACGATGTCCCTCTCCGTTTAATAGCCGAATACTGTTTTTCTGTTCACGTTATCATAGCGCACACAAGATAATTCAGATTATCTAAGACTTCGCGGTAGGCCGCGTCGTAGCTAAACCAAGTCTTTGCACACTCGTGCCACTTATTCCTCCATACTTTACTTCAAATTTGAAATGAACAATGACATGTTAATCTTAATATGAAGTCCTCACAAATTACTGAAGATTATATGATAAACTTACAAACAAACACAAACCTCTCTTTCTAATTGTACCATTAAAGAAGTCTTATCTTCAAATTGAGAATTGATAACGATATATTAATGGTACTACTAATTGCTTCCAAATTACTAGAGATTATATCATAGACTTTAAAACAAAAGCAAACTTCTTTTTCTAATTGTACCACTAGATAAGTGTTTTCTTCAAATTCAGACTGAATAATAATATAATAATCGTAGTTACTAATTGCTTACAAATTACTCAAGACTATACGATAAAACAAAAACAAACTTCTTTTTCTACTTGTTCAACATAAGAGTTTCCTTCGTGGTGTCTATGATTCTACTATTTTCATTTAAAGGCACAGTGAACATTGACAGAGTAAATGATAATTGTTTCCAAATTATTCATTGCAGACTTCGAGACTAACCAAAGCTGTTGTACACTTGCATACAAGTTTTTCCCTTTTTGGTCCCAGTTCTTTAATTTTTTCTTTTGCTTTTCGTTGAAGGCACAATGGAGAATGGTGCAATGATATAGATTATAATTGAGAAAACGTATTGGTTCGATGGTACGAATGCGAGTGGCAGTTTCCGGTGATACTCCGTCGCAGGACGGGGATCCACAGATGGAAATCGATCGTCGACGGTTGGATGAAAACGTGGTACGGAGCGGCAAGTAACGATCTGTTCGTCACCGTCACCGCGAATGGACTGGTTGCCGCGATAGATACGGGCCCAGTAGACCGCAGCGTGGGGGGACGGACTTAACAGAATGACGAGGAACGTTAGTGGGTAAGTGAGTGTAGGCCTGCGTCAGTTTTCGAGGCAATCGGGAAGCCCGGACACTGACGAAAAGATGTCGCAGCAAAAAATTATAAGTATTTTTCGTCGGTCGTCGCGCGGTGACAGCTAACGAGGATTACTGGGAATTTCTCTTTGGGAATTCAAGTCATCAATTCTGAAACAGCAGAAGCATACTGTTTGACACTAGGACATTTATTGTAGAGTTTTCTCTATTTTTCGTAGAAAAATTGATGTCCATTCATTTAGATCTTGAAAATTAACCCCTCTTAGTTAACCCCTTGCTCTATGATTTATTTTTCAATTATGATTGATACAAGTACTTTATTGGTAATTATTTATTTGGGGAAGAACAAATTTTGATGGTTATTCTATGTCTACGTTTATTCAAAATGTTAACGATTGATAATAGAAAAGTAATGTTTAATTTATGTTTGAACAAAGTAAATAATACTTAGGTTTATCAAATTTAGTTTAAAATTCTCGCCACGAGCCGATTATAGGTTAAGGGGTTAACAATTTGTGCAAATGTTATTTAATTCATTGACAACCGGAAATAATGATATAAAATAGACAAGTATATCTGTTCGAAACTCCGCTTGAAAAATTGATGTTTCTTATATTTCTCAGTTTTCATGAGTTTTTTAAGGTGACAAGTATTTGACATAATAATTATATAATTGGACTTTAATCTTTATCCATTGCGACTCCATTGAGTCCTAGAAAAATTGATGTTTGCTGATTTAGACGTTGAAAATTACAGAATTAACAATGGACAATTAGAATAAACATTTGTATAATTATATCAATCCAACTGGACGTAAATATTTATCAAATAATGTTCATAATGTTCAATATACATTAAATTATCAAATTCTATCAACCTAGTGTTAACGTTACTTATACAAGTTATTGACTTAACTGTTTTTAGCTTATTCGGACCCGTTTAACATTAGATTTAGACATTTATTGTATAGTTTATTATATCGTTCCTAGAAGAATTGATGTTCCTTTATTTAGATCTCGGAAATTAGCGGTTCAAAAATAGACAATCAAGATACATATTCATGTAATTGCATCAATGAAAATCAACGTATACATTTGACAAATAACGTTTATAAATTTGTGTTAATAATATTAAAAATGCACACGTAACGAAGGTGTACGTGTAGCCAATGCCTGCAGCAAGGATCAATAAAACAGATAATGAACGAATAAACGAAAATAAAAAGAAAGATTGATTTTCTCGAAATGTTGACTGGTTGACTTGTGCTGTTTCGGAATTCACAATTGCTGAGTATCGGATTCGTAAATTTTCAAGGGGTCGCGTGAGTAATCCGAATTGAAGAGTTTTTTCCTGGACAACACAATTTTTTCTATTATCGAATGATTCATTCGAGTTTCAGGTAAAAGGACAGTTTTATGTTTCGATGAATACACAAGTTTCCGTGAAACCCGCATCCGGGCATCACGAACGAAGGCTATATTAATCTGAGGAAGATCAAAGCACGAGATTAATCACTTCCAGGAGTCCATTAATATATTTTGAACCGTCATTGATTTCTTAATATAATAACCATAAGTTAGCAGACGTAAGATTTTAGCTACTCACGAATAAATTAGATTTATTAGCGTCTATTTCTATTGTCAGCTGAATTGAAACTAACTTCCAGTCGTGTAGGTAACATTTCTAGTAATAACTAGAAATAAAATGATCAAAATATCATTTAATAAATAAACGTGTCTCTGTTGAAACTAGTTATCATTTATTCTTTGAAATCGAAAGAGAAGGAACTTTCGTGTTAAATAAAACGTTTTTATTTATCTGTTGTAATGTGCATGGAAATATTATTGATATGTTTACAGTTCCGAAGAATAATCTGAAGCTAATTGTTCGATTCGTTCATAAGAAATCGTATTAATAAGTTTAAAGAACATAGTTTTGACAAGGAAATTTTGAAATATTGCATGAATGACACAACTACATAATATGTTTGAAAAATAAAAGTTAGCTATGTGGATATTAACATTTTGCTGATGTGTCACGAGTATACTCGTGTTTATTGGTTCAAGTTGTTTATGAGTTTCGTTGTATTTGCACTTACATTAATTTATGACTGAAAGCAATATAGATCTTTATAAGAGCATTTTAGTTTGTATTCGTTAGTTTAGATCATTTAAATCATGTCAGCACATTATACGTGAATAAAGTATGCACGTTGAAGATTAACACTAAAACTACCGGGCAGTTAAATTGACTTTTTTAAATTCCTCTATAGGAACTCTAAGAATGCACCTATTGAGACTTTTTTGATTTACAATTCAGTGTACGCATTGTTACACCGATATCTTTAACAATTTCTCAGAGAAACATCTGTTAACTATTTAATAATTGCAAGAAAAAGAAATCAGAAATAGGTCATTTTGATTTGTTTGGTAGTTTTAGTGTTGAAGATGTTTTTTTGTAAACAAATTCATCGGTCAACACGGTGTTAAATGATATTCGGAATTCGTTTTTGTCGACGTAACGATTATACTGTATAGTTTAACCGATTCAGGTCGAAGTTTTTATAGAAAGGGGACCGGGTAAACGGCCCCTTGACGATAAATCGTCGAACATTTACTTTTTATTAGAGATGGGGGTGTAACACTAGGCTTAATCTAGGGCAATATATATCAGCGCAACAGGCGGCGACTGACAACACTTCTGCGATGATAGAGCACTAACCGATCGTGTTACGAATGATCACCGATTTCAGCTTCTACGAAAACGGCTTTCGAATGATACAAACGTCACTTAAGGGAAAATTCACAATTATTTTATCTAACGATTAATCATACCTTTATCATTAATTTTCCTCAAATATTTCTATATGCAATGTTTTATTTTATTTCTTAGTGTTTTTAGTAAAAATTGACAAGATATTAATAAATAGATTAGGACTAGGTAAAACATGAGAATTTAATTTCTTTAAAAGTGTTAATTCTTTAATTGCTATAAATTGTGAATAACACCGTATAACAAATGTTAATTTAAAACATAAAGAAAACAATCTAGTGATTTATCAACTAATATAATGACTATTTATATATCTTATATTTTTTGGTAAATTGCATAACATTTTCAATAGAAATACTCGAACACGATTAAAAACTGAATAAATATTCATTCAAATAACAAATGCAAACAATACTGAACCCATTCTAAAACCAGCAAAGCTAACCAGAAACAACGAATAAATTCTTCGATCAACAACTCATTCACCACTACAGATTGCAATTCAATTAAAACAGATTTGATTATTTAGCCACTCTTAATTCATTCTGTTATTCATTAACCCCTTGCTCTACAATATCGCGTCAAACTCGTGGTAAAGATTTCAAATAGAACTTAACAAATATATCACTTAATTCTTCCAACTCCGAATTGACTATTATTTTCCTATTATTAATTTCAATGCTTCTGAGTAAACGTAGACATAGAATAAATGTAAAATTGTTCTCTTTTTCTAATGAATTATAAAGAATAAGGTATCTCTGTTGAGCGTAATCGAGAAGAAATCGTAGGGCAAGGGGTTAACAAAAGCTCATCGTAACAGTTACCAATTAAACGCCACCGTGTAGATTTTGCGGATCCACCCCCAGCAAGTTGTACGGTTTAACTGCTCTCTCCTTGGTTTTTAATTAATCACGTTCCGCCAATCGGCGAGTGGCCGCGTAAATGGCGTTTCCTTCTTGCGAAGAAGGCTAGCGAGCGAAGAAGAGAAAGAAAGAGAAAAAAAGAAGAGAGGATCGGTGCCACTTCCGATTTATTAGGGGCGGCGGTGTGTACCCTTCCGTTGTGGACGCTCGTCAACCAGCTGGTTCACTCCCCCCTCGCGGCTTGCCCTGATAAAACGAAATGTAATTATTTTTAAAAAGGATGTAGGGACCGTGGTTGTGTTTTCATCGGACGGAACGCGTGGCGTGGCTCGGATCAGGCGTAGGTGCTTTCGGGGCGACTGTCGCGTCGAGGATACACCCGTTCCTCCATTTACGCGGAGTATCCGTTCCAAATATCGTCACAGCAATCTCCAGCTGCGATAACAGTGATCAATGTCAAATGTAATGCGAGCATTACTTCGAACCTTCATTAACGGATAATAAGAAAATTGAATAAGCGTAGGTAGATGAATGGAAAAGAAACAAGAAACTCGTTTCACGAAATTTTGTTTCTCGAAAAATTTCGTTTCTCCAAAATACACGAAAAATCAACAAATCTCTGAAGAACTTTTTTCTTAACTTAACTTTATACAACAGATAACAGATGCTTTTCGGAAGAAGTACTAGAGAAACTGATTTAACAATACACAAACTGAATTGCAAACCAACTGAAGCCTCAATAATTGTACTGTTGAGGTTTCTAGACAACAATTTCGAAAAGACAATTTAACTGCTCGGTAGTTCTAGTATTAATTCATTGATCCATTGATCGGTACGGCTTTATATACTGCTAGAAGATTAATAGATCAATTTTTTATTTGTTCTCATCCAATTTTCTGTTGGTGTTATTTCTCAATTCCTGATATTCTCGATCACTAATTTACTCTTCGTCAATACAGTTATGTAGGTTGCTGCAAGTGTTTCGGGAAAGAATGAGAAAAGCCACGAATAAATTTGAACTAATGGTTGTTATTGTTCTCCAAAATATTCTCCTTCAGTCTTAATACATTTTCTATTGCTTTGTGTCAGGACTTTCTAATCTCAAACATTTGAAGCTTCGCAAAAATAACAAGCAACTGAATGCAAGTGGATTCCCGAAATTTTTGCAATGACCTACATGCACATATGCAATAAACACTATGAAACTGTAAATTAGGAAGACATTAGATATCAAGACATTTCTCTACAGTGCAGTTGGTAGATGACTTGAAGTCTAGCGGAAAATATTTTTGTTTGACATGAATTTTCTTGTTGCAATTATTTTTAAGGAATTCGGAAGCTCTGATCATCGATGACTATTAAAGTGCATCTCTAAAACTTATATTAACTTTTCTTTTCTACTGACGGACTCTGTTTACGCGGTTTTTATTTGCGTAACACGAATCCACGTGGAGCAGATATTCTGCGTAAATGGATGGACGGGTGTAGGTCGACGTGCGTTTCTATAAATCATTCCCCCGTGTCCAATCGTGGCTTTACATTTTACACCTACGTCCCGAACCTTTCCTACGGACGAGAGCCGGCCTGCGTCGCGTAAACCGGAAGTCTTTTAAGTCTTCCCGCGTGGACGTGTTTATGGCGGATTCAACGTAAAACGAACGTTATATCTTTGTTAATATTCTTTTATTTTTAATCCCTTCCCATACGATGTTTGCGACTAAACTCAATTGATTAATTTTAATATTAATAATTTGTCGGAAATGCGAAGGAATGTTTCATTTATTGTAAGTACATATCAACTTTGAAGGTGAAATATTGAAAAAAGCAAAATAGTCTTTCGCTTCGGTTCATGTCCTATGGGGAATATTGATTTTTATTAAATTAACGACAGTTAAAGAAAATTATTCAGACAGTTAGTAAAAAAAAAATCGTATGTAATTGAAAAAATTCAATAGATAATGATTTTTTTAAGGATTATTATAAAAATTATTGTACTAAGTATAGTACTACAATCACTATGAAAGTCAATTTTCCAGCAGTGACTTCCTTCGTTCACATTTATCTATGTGTTATCATTAAAACTCCATAATAAACAATCATTAAATTACCAAGCAATAAATCATTTTATCTTCAACCCACATTAATGGAAACAAAGATATATATTTCTGCTAAATAAAAGTACCAATAAAAGTCAATGTTCCAGCAGTGACTTCCTTCGTTAACATCTATCTATGTGTTATCATTAAAACTCCATAATAAACAATCATTAAATTACCAAGCAATAAATCATTTTATCTTCAGTCTATACCAACGGAAAGAAAAATATATATTCCTGCGAAATAAAAGTACCAATAAAAGTCAATGTTCCAGCAGTGACTTCCTTCGTTAATGTATTCTCTCCAATAAACAGTCACTGAATTAGCAGATAGTAAATCATTTTATCTCCGTGCAGAATCGATATTCTTGTTGATTTCCACGTACAACGCTTTCTGGCTCATGAAATCGTCTTCGACGATAGATCTATTTTCGCTGCAGGTAAACCAATCAATTCCCCCGTGATACTGCGTAGCACAAACTTCGTTGTTTCGTCGTCGTTTGCGGGGATCGGTTTTTCCTCGAATCTACGGATAAATTGTCCGCGGTATCCGCCGATCGCCGCGATCGTTAGTGTGTTTTATTAACATTAGATTTACGTAACGCGTCAATTTGACGCATATCGCATTTTATGAATATTACATGGTAAAGAGAATTATTTGAATTATGAACTGTATTCTATAAGTTTATGGTTATGGTCAGCGAACACTTGGCGAAGGTGAAAACAAGTAAGACGATATAGAAATAAAGTTATGCATTATACAACTGTGATAGAATTACAAGGTGTAATATGAATTATGAAACATTTAACATTAAGCGACCGGTCACATTATCGGATTTAAAATTCATAATCAGTTTATCAATTTTTGTATTTCCTCTCGTTTCTGTTGCCACTAAACACGAATTATCATCTAACTTGAATTGACAGAACAGAATAACATACGATATACAACAATAAATCGATGAAGTACAAAACACGCAAATCACGCACATGTCAAATTCACCAGCAACACTTTACATCGATTATATTAATTACACTGGTCTATAAAAGTTAACTTCTTTTTGTTAGACTAGAATTAATGAGTGATCTTAATAGTATTTCTCATGTTGGATTCAAATATGCAGTCCGTTTTTCTTCATCATCCACAGGTTTTGAGAAAATCAATTTTGAAAGAAAACCTCAATTTTTCAACTTTATCATTCGTTCAACAAATTGTAGCAAAGAAAGTCTCCCCGAAATCTACGGGTAGATGATAAATAAATAAACAAAATATTATTTGATAAGTGTTCATGTCGATTTTGATTGATACAATTCTACGAATATGTATCTCAATTGTCTACTTTTAAACGTATAATTTCCAAGATCGAAATGAACGAATGTCAATATTTCTAGGAACAATGGTACATAAAGAGTGCAACAAATGTCCGTAAACCTAATAGTGTTAAGCATCGACGCCTCCACGCGACGTTTAACTGATTTCATCGTTAATGTCTCGCCGCCCTCGGATCTGTTAAGAGACTACGTTCATTTACGAAGAAATCTCAGCAATAAACGCGCTGATTCTTTCGCCGTTTTGACTGCGATGGTGGAAACTGAGATTAGACTCCATTATGACTATGAAGTACGTTGATCGACACGTTAGTCGGAGATAATATTAAAAGTAATTATAATTGAAGGTACCATGAGAATAATTGAGCCATTTGTTTTCTTAATGATTAGAAAACGAAGAAAGTTATACATACATTTAAATAGGATTTTATGAAAATTATTGAGTCTAAAAATAGCAGCAAGTTTCGTGATTGAAAAATGGAACTTTTTCAGATTGATTTATATTGAAATTTGGTCAAATTAATTTTAGATTAAATAAATAATGCTTACTATTATTAAACGATATCAAAATTATTCAATATATTATTGATACTATTAAACGTAATTGATAAATTATTAGTAATGTAATATTAATATAGAGTATTAATATATTATTAATGTTATTAAAAGTAATACTTAGTATTATATAGTTTTGGATTACAGTGTGCGATTTGCAGTCGTACTGCAATCTACTAGTATGATAAATATATCTTATATCAGTAGATAATATAAACGTACATATCCCATGTTATCTCGTATTGAACTAACAAAATGGAAAAAAGGGTTACTACGTTTCACGAGTTACACTGTTCTTATAACTTTTTAATAAACTATTTATGGGTATTTAGTTACGTGACATTTTAATTTAATTCTTAACTATAAAATATACTAGTGAAATTTTTACAAAAATCTGTACACATCTTGTATAATAAGTAAATAATTATATTACCAAAGATTTCCACTTGACAGTTATCTAACTGCAATACACTGTTCAGAACAGTTCAGTATAAATTGGACATTTATTGCGAAGTATATTTTGTTTCTTATGTTATTATGTAAATATATTCTATACAGTCACTTTTTTAAATTTCGAATGTAGTTTGAAATGTCACATTTCGTTTATTTGATTATAACCTCGATAGAAATCTCTACACAAAGAGTATGAATGTAGCTATTATACGAACAGAACCTGAGGATTACTAGATGTAGGATATGACACACCCTGCACACACGATAAAAAGTCACTCGGTACAGTGACATTCAGACCGATAACAACTCTTCTGTGTGACATTTTTCAAATGTTTCTTGAAGAAAACACCCTATATTTAATGTAACAATCGTTATTCATAATGATTTGTTTATTTTCAGCAGTAATTAATGAAAGAGCACATAGAAATATGAAAAACACATTCCCACCACATTTTTTGTATTTTAGTTACGTACAAATATTTCAATAATTATTAAAACTCGATATTCCAGTAATATATAAACAATACAAGTAAAGAAATGGAATACTAAAAGAACAATACTAATAAGTAAATGCATACGTTGATAATGAAAATTGAGAAATCTTCGTAGAAAGTACCATAAGTGCCATAGGCAGAAAATTTCTTTTCTTTGTTGAAAAACATTCTACAAGAAATAGTGGTATTATAATACACAATTTGAAAACTTTCTTTTTCTGTGAATAGCGCTAAAAATAATTTTCACTGATACTTCCTGAATAATTTCAATTAACTTTCTTTTTAAACAAAATCAATGATTAATATTCACAGCGTTTGTTACGAGTACTATTCAATTACTTCATTGTTCAATTATTCATTGTAATCAACAAGTACTTAGAGCGAACCAGTCGCGCGTGCATTTTGCGAAGCGAAGCAACGAAGTTTCCTCGAAAATGGTAAAATAGATTTCGCGTGTTTCCCTCGTCCATGAAGGACACTAACCCCACGCCTGCGCTCTATTAGGATCGAAAGAACGAATTCAGCGGTCCAGTTACCGGATCGGTTTAGTCGTTTCGCGAATTACGCGAGAAACGTTTCGGTACACTGCACGCGGCTGATTCGATTCTTATTATTTCGATCGTTCCCTTATTCTTTTTGAAAATATGTAATGCGTTGTATTCTAATTAAACGCAGTGAAAAACAACTGTTAAAAAGGCGGTGGATCATAAAATTTTCTCAAACTTGTGCAACTTGATTCGAAGTTCTCGCGAAAACGAGAAACGCCATGAATTATAATAAGAAAGATACGTTCATAGATTTTTGGATTTCGATTAAGAAAAATGAATGAGTTTTTGATTAATAATTAATATGTTCTGATTGAGTTACGATAATGCTCAGAACGGAACAATACTGTGCACAATGTCAAACTTTCGAAGTTTTCGCAAACTTCGATATTTTGCTGGACAACGAGGATACTTAGTTAATTTTAAGATTCTTTTGATAATTTAAACGTGTAAGGAAGATAATGGTCAAGAGAGTGTTAAATAAAGTGAACACAATGGTCTTGGGATGCATTGGTAAAGTTTACGAACTTCGTCTTCCTCAAATTTGGTGAAAATTTTCGTTATTTCTATAGATTGCATATGTATATAATTAATTACTGAATGACAAATTTTTATGACAGCTGGTTCATTAAGTATTAAATGAAGTTTAATATCTGTCGTTAAATACTTTTAGTTGAATTCTAATGGAACTTTATTTAATGTTTACTTTTGTCAATTGTAAATTTGATAATAAAATTCGAATACTATTTACAAAAATTCTAACTAACCGAAACGCAGTATAATAACGTGGTAATGATAAATTCAAGAAGTTTACAATATTATTGTTGCACGTTTAATCGAAACATTTTTAATTTCTACAATTTTGAATTCCACAGTGATCAATCGTATTAATCATTTTTCAATTATTTCAATATGACAACACGGCAATGACAAATCGTAGAAATTTACAATAATGTTATCCCACGTTTAATCGAATCTTTCCTAATTTAGAAAATGGTGAATTCCATAGTGGTCAATCACAAGAATAATTCTTCAATCATTTAATTATGCTACTCCTAACAACCGTCACAAAATTGACAACTAACAAAAGCGCAAGACAACAAATACTATGATAAAAAGCAATAAAAATTTACAATAATTTTTCACTATTGATCAAAGCTTTATAATATCTAAAATTTCAAATACCAGAGAGATCAGTCGTACAAATCAATTCTTTCACCTAAATACACCGATCCAAACAATGTTCCCAAAGATCGCGTACAATCAGAGCACAAGAATGACGCTGCTTGCATAACAGACGGATAGAACTTACAAAATCGCCGAAACATTTTGAACCGTGGGGGTTAGTATGAAGCGGAGAAGATCCCGATGCTAAGGCGATGCATTGAGACACCGTAAATTCCACGGAACAGTGATCCGAACGTGTCAAACAGAGATTACCAGTGCCGAGTGTGATGACGTGCCATAAATGATTCGCATCAATGAACCGTGGACCGACAACGTTTGCTTCTCACGAAGGTAAGTGGCTCTTCTACTCAATTCTAGGTAAGGATTCGTGTGAATGACTGGATTGTGCTGACGATAACAGCGTATATAAGTACATACACCGGTCGAACTCGCTGATAAAACGCGCTTTCGCGCATTCACTTTGACCGAGGTTTCTCACCTTGACGAAATTTAACGCTAAAACTACCGAGCAGTTATTCTGTTAACACTAGGTTTACGAAACGCGTTAGTTTGAGGAAACATTGCACGTTATAAATATTATTTTGTAAATATTTACATCGGTTTCAAATGGTGCAATTACACGGATACGTATACCAATTATCTATTATCAAACCCACAATCTCCGAAATCTAAATAAACGAACATTAATTTTTCTAAGGACAATAGAGTAAATTGTAGAATACATGCTTGTAAATCTAGTGTTAACTGTGGAATTTAGTTTTAGAAATCTCTTATTATACGCGCAATAAAATCAAACAATGAAGTGTATATTCGTCGAATGCAGGACAAACGCACTTATAATATATTCTGATGAAAAATTAGAGCAAAACGAAGAAGACTTACATGTTTATCTGAAAAAATGGATAATTGATTGCTGAAAGAAGTAATGTCATTTTGAGTTTTAAGATGACGCGTATACTCGTCGAACGGAGTTAACTGGTTAAATCGATTTTTTGAAATTCGAATGGAATGGATGAAAGATAACCAAGACTTTTCTTAAAGCAATTATAATGTACAAATAGACAATTTATAAATAATGAAGGAGAATATGTTTTATATTAAAAACAGTTTTGTTTATTTTCAGTTTTAAAAGTAAAAGAAATATATAAAACATCATGATTCAATAAATCTATTGGTATTTAAACTGATTTAGAATTCAGTTTGCGTATCACTAAATCGATTACTATAATAATTTCTCAGAGAATCATCTGTTATCTTTTTTATTATTGCAAAAAGGAGAAATCAAGAATGAAAGTCATTTTGACTCGTTTGGTAGTTTTAGTGGTAACCTTTTAACTATGATCGATACAATTATATTATTTTGAATAATCTGTTAGGAAAGGAAAAACGTTGATGATTATTTTATGTTCACGCTTTCTCCAAAGGTTAACGATTCATAATAGAGAAACAATATTTAATTTGTATTTAAAAAAAATTAATTAACACTTAATTCTGTCAAATTCAGTTTAAAATTTTCGTTACAAGTGTGACACGATGTTGTAGGTCAAAGGGTTAACCTTTTGCACTCAAACTATTTCTCCACGGTGAATAGTAAATTCGTTTATTTTATTAATCAAATCGACGACTAAATAATAAAATCAATGAAACGTGAAATCACACGCGACTAAAGTTTAACTATAAATTCAAACAGTTTGACCTTCAGTGCGGTATATTGTTGATGTGTCTGAGAAGTACACTTCAAGACTACGCCAAACTTTGGCAGTGCATGCGAGTGCTTCTTTTCGAAATTTCTGAGATTCCTTTTTCACAATTATTAAATGTTATAAATCCAGCTGGAAGAATTTACCACATACCCTGATTTACTAGCATGCAAATTAGGATATAAGTCAATTGAAATCTCAATAAATGCATTTTTATAATTTTCTTATAGAAAAATAACGAAAAGTCAGTTTGATTGCTCAGTAATTGTAGTGTTGACCCTTTGCAGCCTTAGTGATCAGTTGGTTCGATAGAGGAGAATTTTAGAGTTAGACTTTTTATATTAACCCCTTGTCCTAGAATTTGTTTCTTAATTATGATCGATACAACTTTTTTGTTGTTAACAAATTATTGAAAAGAAAGAAGAATTCTAGATATATTCTATGTCCATGTGTGTTCTAAGGATAATTGATAACAGACGAATAATACTTCATTTTAATTTAGGAGAAATTTAAATTCTGTTTAAAATCTGCACGTTGTTATAGGGCAAGGGGTTAAACTTTGTATAACGCATCAGTATTAAAAATATTGATATGAAATAGCTTTGTTCCTTGATTCCCATCTGATTTCCCATCAAGTTTATTTAAAAATTTGCACACACTGTGATTCTAACTAATATTTTCCATTGTATTTCTATACTGTTTTATTGCTACAATAAAATAATATATTCAATGGAATGTTGATGTACAGAATACATTATACCTTGTAAAACGACGATTTGCAGTTCGAAATGATTGATGTTCTAAGTTATTGTTATTATACTATTACTAGTTATTGTCATTATACTATACACCAATCTTTAAGTTTCAATGAAAATTTGCATCATTCAAGTGACACGGTTAACAAAAATTGAATGCAACGGAACACCAATTTGCTGTACCAAACGTTTAGTTTTGCAAATTATAAATTTATTTCCATTATACTGTATATATAAAATTATGGAATTAAATGATAATTTTCTAAACTATTATCATTATACTGTCCACCAATTTTTAAGTTTCAATGAAAATTTGCATCATTCAAGTGACACGGTTAACAAAAATTGAATGCAACGGAACACCAATTTACAGTTCCAAACGGTTAGCTCCCAGAGAGGTCTGCATTCAGTCTAGTGGCTAATAGCACTGTCCGCGTAAACACATTTTTACATCCTCTCGTTGTTTCATCCCGAGACGGCGAGATGAAATCTAAAAACCCTGCTCTTCGTGGTTCCCTGGGAACGCAATTCCGACATAAGATAGAATCGTTCGGTAAAGTTTACTCCCGGTTGAAAGAGTTTATCGTCTCGAGTGGCGAAAATAGATTTCTCTCTTCCTTTTCAACATCCCGCGAGGAAAAAAGAAGACGCTCCCTGTGTGCATTTTCTCGACGTGCGAGAAACAAGAGAAGCAGCGTAGCGGCCCGAGCGTAATGGAAAGGAGAAACAGACAAATGGACGAATGTTTGAAATTCAATAGAATAAATGGCAAAATGGACAAAAACGAGGCCACGTTTATTTACGTATTTGCCACACGATACACCGGCTATTCCTTTTTAAAAACTTTCAAATCGTTGCGAGCTCGCGTGACGCGTTGGCAACTTGTGCCCCAGTTCTCCTTAATTTATATTGTTTATTTGCAAGTTGGCGCGGTTAGAGACTTGTAAAGAACAGTTTTTTAAGTTTCTTTTGTACACCGTTTTACGTGGCACGTGTTCTTCGTTGTTTAATTGTATAGACTGTGACATGTGTGCAAAATTGAAATTTAATTGTTTATTATTGTATTGTATAGTTGAAATTACGGGATAATTTTAAACCAAATGGTTTAACGCTGAAACTACCGAGCAGTCGAACTGCCTTTTTCTAATTCTTTTATAGCAACGCTAGAAATGCATCTACTGGTATTTCGATTGATTTGTAATTCAATTTGCGTATTACGAAAATGATTTGTATAATGATTTCTTAGAGAATAAGTTGCCATCATTTCAATATTTGAAACAGAAGAGATTAGGGACTGTTCATTTTGACTTGTCTAGTAGTTTTATTGTTAAAAGAAAGATTTTTCTTATATTCATGTAGTTCGACCATTCAAATTTGTTCCATGTGTTTTGAAATTATAGAATCCAAAAACGACCTGACTGATAGATTACATCTGTACCTAATGAAGATATTAACATATAGTTTACTAAATTGTAACATTCTTCAAAGTTCTGTATACTCGATTAAGCTGTTCATTCTACTGGAATCTTAACAAAATTCTGAATAAAATACCTACACGACTGTCTCCTCGATTCCAATTTTCTCAAATTAGAAATTTACGTTTACATGATAATTAAACTGTAGATTCTCATACATTTATAAGAAATTCGAAACTACCAAACTGTACAGTATGCACACAAATACATAAAATATCCAGCGTACAATGCTTTTCACAATATTCATGAATAAGAACCATTTTCCATGGTAATTCTATTTTTCCAATAGCGCCATTTAAAATTTTAATTTCCATACAAATCCGCAGTCTACTAATAATCTACCCCCTTGAAAAAACTAAAATTAATATACTAAAAATATTGTTTCTAACTGTTTTACAAATTATCTCGAAAACTGCAATTGAATGCAATTCATTTGATCAAGTTGAACGATCGAATTAAACATTATAATTTCCATTTGCACGTTTCGTAAGCGTATGAGACGCAGGGGTCACTGACAACACTCCGGATGCGTCGCTATACGTGGTTCGAAAAAAAAGGAAGGGGAAACAAATTTTCCCTCGTTTGTTCGAATTAAGTCACCGAGTTTTACGGCCCTGTGCAAAACGATAACTGTCTACCATGCTGTCTGCAGATGGAGTACTGGATGGCGAGCAACGATACCGGCCACAATGGCAGAGCAGAGGCCCTCGAGGAGGTCCTACAGGATCCAGGATCAGCGGTCCTCTTCGTCGGCTATCCACGATGGCTGTTACATTTTGCCGCTGGGTGCTGTGTGCTTTTCATGCTTGTCGGCATCCCTGGCAACCTTTTCACTATTATTGCCCTTCTTCGGACTAAAAAGGTCAGTTTTCTTTCTAGTTCACAAAATTTTACTGCTGCTTATAGTATTATCAATAACAGTTAATAGTTTAATGCTTTTATACTTTCATACTAGAGCTACTGAGCGTTTAATTTGATTGACATAGAGTCATAGATCGTTATAATTTTAATGACAGACTTTTCTCGGTCTCTTCGTATATTTGTTATAGTGTTCGAGTGAATCTATTTATTTTTGAAATTATTAGTTATTTTAATGAGTGTGGTAATTCTAGTGTTCATATTTTTGTACTTTAACACTGGAACTACTGAGCGTTTAATGTGATTAACATGTAGGCCTTGTAAAAATTGTAATAATAGACATTTCTCGGTTTTTTTACATATTTTCGATATATTATTCAAGTGAAGGTATTCATTTCTTAAATCATTTCGGATATTTATCGTTTTTGAGATATCAATAATTATGAAATAAGAAAATTGATATTTTGACGGGTGTGATAGTTCTAATGTCAATACTTTAATGCTTTAATATTCAACAGTTCATCATTTCATGACTCTTTTTTTCGTGAACAAATAAAAATTGATGTATCTTGATGACAATATCAAACAACACGAATTTTCTGGAGTCTATGAGATGAAAGAAGGTTAAAAGAGCAATCGCTACGGAAAATGTTATTTTTTCAATTTTTGTTGTGTTAAGGAAATTCTTTTGATTATATATGATTTATATGACTATTGCATTAACATTTAATATGTTTGATTTTTTTGTATGCTTTGTAAAATATGTTTAATAATGAAAAATGTTGTAAAACATGCTGATATAACAAAATTTTTAGAGTTCAATGTTTGAATTGGAAAGATTGTGACAGTTGAATACTAATATAGTAAATACAAGATAACGAAGTAATTTTAGGTAAAAATAATTTCAAGTAATGATGATAACTGATATTTAATGCTGAACAGTGTAAAAGAAAGTGCAAACAAAGTAACCAGAAACATGGTCAAAATCTTTGACAGATCGTTATTCACATTTATAAATCTTTCAATAGTTCACGTAAATTTACATATACATAGCTATGTGATTGGTTGTAACAAATGAGAAATATAAAAAAATTGATAGTATTTTATATTTCTATTTTGATATCACTCGAAGAAATTTTTACAAAATCAAATCTTCTAAACTAACCTAGTTTGAATAAAAATCTACAGTACATTATTTATAATTCATTTTTTAATACTTCAAATTGTGTAACCAATTTATTATAATTTACAATGTTTGCAATATTAAATATCTCATTACTTAATGCAGTAATATAATTAATTATAAATCACCCTTCCATTATTCAAATAAACAATATACATCAAATAAAATTTAAAAAACCCTTGCATAAAATCAAGGTTACGTATTAATAGTTGAGATAAATATTTATAATTGTAATTAGACTGAATTATTGATCTTAGTATTGTTATCGTGGTTTCGCATGATATTGCTGCAATTATAGACAGCTTGAGGCGATTCCCAACCTAATGGACGTTGTTCTGGAAATTGTGCAACTATAAACGTCAACATTGGTATAGATATGATAAAGTCTAAATTCCCAAGTGACGAATTTCTTACACGGAACGATCTAGATTACATGTCGCGGTTGCTCGAGTTTCCAGTGTGCCTTACTTGCCTCTATTAAATCCTAGACGGACCGCCTTGTAAAGTGGTTCACCTCGGTTCTTGTTTTAGAACACAATGGCGAGACGCAGTGAAATTTTTAGTAAAAGTTTGTACCTCAACTTTTCTTGCGTAACGATAAATTGCAGATAAGACATCTTCATTGGACGTCTATCTATCGTGTATCGTCATTCCGATTAAAGTTTCCTTTCGAATCATCCGTGACACTGAAACCAATATTACTTCCAACATCGTTAAAGTTTAAATCGAATCACTATTATTTTATTAATATATAATAATTCAACACTTATATTCTATATTACACTTTTCTTAATTATAAATAGATTATGAATTTCTATGAACTTATAAATTTTCACGAGCGTCTTTCCAGAAACTGCAATTAACCAAAATCTTGGTTAACCTTTTAAATTAATAATACCAATTCATCAATTAAAAGAATGAAATTTAAAGAAATGATCGAGCTTCAAATAAAGTAAGGATTGCATTTAATTTCATTAAATATTTTATCATCCCGAAGTTTAAGTAACTTCATCAACTACTAATAAATAAAATTTGCATTCCAATTATGAAAAAGTGAGTTATTTCTATTCTGTATTATTTTTCGCAATTGTTTTGTTGTTATTGTAACTTTTTCTTATATTTAATTAAAGGTCCTTTTTGTAAATAAGCAATTAAAGATAATAAAAGATTCTTTTCGTAAATAAGTAATTAAAGAGCCTTTTATTATGTATAAGAAAAGATATAATAGCAAAGATGTATTCGCGGTAAATAATACAAAATGTAAGTAATTCAATTTTGTTTTAATAAATGATATTGTATTGAAACGTATTTAGACGCTTATCTGTTAAACTGGTGATATTTTCAGAGCATCTTCGATCGTCAGGTAAGACGCGTCAACGATACGATAACTTCCCGCCGCGCATACAAACATTCTCCTTTCTTCGGGTTCCCTGGATTTATGTAGGAGACGATTTTACAACGCGTGATGCATACACGATTTATTTTCAGTCGGCAGCAAGCCTTGAGATACTCATAAAACTCTTCTGCCGGTCGCATTGTGTCGGAAAACCCAATTTCTTTCAGCCACAGGACTTCCTGCATTGGTCGGAACAGAAATAGTGATTAATAGACACCGGATGTTTAGAGAAATTAACTACTCGTTTGATATTTTGCAAAATGTAATAAAAGCTACGTTAATCTTTGTTACGTTTCCTGATCAGCAGTTGGTCTAGTTTAGAGTTACTAACGAAGATATTTAATCTCTCTTGATACGCAGAAGATGTTTATATTTTAAAGTAAAAAAGAAAATCATTTATTCATTAAACATTTTATAATATAACAGTAAAAGCTACATTAATTTCTGTCACAATTTTTCTTCAATGGTGTTTCACATAATTCCAGTTCAATGCCAATAACAACATTTCATTTCTTTTAATACACAAAAAATATCTATATTCCAAAATAGTAGAGAAAATCATTTACTAATTGAATATTTTATGAGATACATTAAAAATGATATTGGTCTTACATTTCTTGTTCAATAGTGTTTTACATAATTTCAATTTAATATCACTGACAAAGTTATTTAGTTTCCCTTGACATACGAAAGACATTCACATTTTCAAATAGGAAACAAGACTATTTACAAAAATGGGAAGAAAGTAAGGCAAGTTGTTCATTAAAACTTGACGAATACCTGTCAATTATGCATTACCAAATTCACTTTTGTCCTCTGGTTACAATTCCCCACATAATACTATGAATCACGGCTTTATCATAGACGCCATCTTCAACAAGTTCCTTTGTATGCGTTTCAACCATCCGACCATTGTTTCGTATGGTAATGGCTATAGTTTCCTATAAATACGCACGGCGTAAAAACGAAAACGAGGCAACGATCGGAAGGTTGTCGGCACCGTTTATTATGAAACGGAATTCCCGATCTACAACCTGATCACGGAAGAGATTACAATTTGCAGTTGCCGTGTTTCTCTTGCCACCAGCTCTGAATATAATGTGCTCACGCCAATCTTGACGGTCAATCCAATCAATGAACTAGAGTCGAACGGGAATGAAACACAATGCCACAATGTTTTATTGCACAACCTCGAATTTCGCTTACTAATGCGAAATTCCGACAGAATCGGAATTTTCGTCAAGGTTTCGTTGTTTCTTGCTTTGGTGTGCAACAAAATGTCGGATTTATTAAGCTTCTTGTATTCATGAAACGTAAAAGCTTTTTTTTTACATGTTTACATTGAACGATTCACCTGTATGAACGGTTAAATTAGTTTAATGGGGTTGACCTATTCTGTTGAAGATCGCAGTAAGGTCGTTGTTAGTTTTTTAATTTTAATCTTTGGTGTTTGTGAACTTATGTAATTGACATCGAGACGAGTTCGATAACTCGTGCCGTTATACTTTTAGAAAGACTTTAACTGGGAAATATTATGACATGTAATGATTTTTTAATATATCATGCTGAACTTTGGAATCTAATAAGTAAAATGTTCTGCATTGAGCATTGAAATCTAATAATTATAATATTTTATAGTAAGCTTTGAAATTGAATAACTCTGAAATATTTTGCACTAATAACTGGAGCATTTTGCAATAAGCTTTGAAATTCAATAATTATAAAATATTTAAAATAAAGTATTTAAATCTAATGAGAAAAACGACAAATGCTTTGTAAACAATAATGATGACCAAAAAAGATTAAAATAAAAGTACAGTTTCATCACCTTTTATACTATTTTTAAACAACGGAAATTGATTCAAGACTAGATAAATTCGCATACAAATTCTCAGTCTACTAATAATATTCCTCCAACATAGAATAACGTGAAATACCAGTAGAAACAATTTATGCGAAAATGTTCATACATGAATAAGCAATAGCATACCATATTCATTATAAATAAACATGTCATGAGAAAATGAAATTCTTCATCAAACGATCATCTTTATTCATGAAAATTTTGTTCCGTTCTTATTTTTCTAGCTGAGAAACGCCACGGCGATCTTCATAATGAATCTTTCGGTTTCGGACTTGATGTTCTGCTGCTTCAATCTACCCCTCGCAACGTCGACATTTTGGCATAGTTCCTGGTATCACGGGGCACTATTATGTCGACTGTTTCCCTTGATGAGATACGGTCTGGTAGCAGTCAGTCTGTTCACAATCCTTGCAATAACTATCAATCGTTACGTTATGATAGGTCATCCTAGATTGTATCCCAAGTGAGTGGTTTATAAATTTTCTTTTGAAATACTTCTTAACCCTCCGTTCGCAATATGAACTATTAAAAGACTATTGAAAATCTCATTTTTTGGTAACTTCATCATTATTTGTCATATTCATTGCAAAATTATACAAAGATTTAGGTGAAACGTTGTTTGTATATTACATTAGGGACTATAATAAGTATTTTAGACTTTTTTCAAATTTTTACAAAGCCAAGAACTGTGAAAAACTGTATTGTCAGCGGAGGGTTCATTATAAAGAAGTGAAAAGTGAAATGGTGTTAAGTAAACAGATTTTAATAACAATCCGATTAAATATAATAAATTAAATATATAGTATCAGAAATGTCTTTCTAAGTCTCTGTTTTAACTTTACCCTTCTAAATATCTACGTTCATTTTTGATATTTAGAATACATCAATTGGGTATTCATTTATAATGGTAAATAATCATATAGTGAACATGATTGATGGTACATTTTATTTTCAGATTCTATAAACAGAAATATTTAGTGCCAATGGTTTTGAGTATCTGGTTCGTGGCTTTTGGTGTCCTCGTTGTCACGTGGTTCGAAAGCTGGGGACGTTTCGGATTGGACATCGCCATTGGTTCTTGCTCGATACTTCCGGATGTACATGGTCGAAGTCCCAAGGAATTCCTTTTCGTAGTTGCTTTTTTAATTCCCTGCGTTGCGATTGTAGTCTGCTACGCTAGGATCTTCTACATTGTTCGGAAAGCGGCTTGGAAAAGTAGAAAACGAAATCTGGTTGGTAATACTGATGCCATTGATGCGAATCATGAGGTACAGTCATTACAATATTTACAATTTATAATTGTCGGTTATAATTTATAACTGTTATAAAATAAGCAAAATTAAAATGAAGATAGTTGAAAAGTTTTATTGAAATGGTAATGGATCTTCCAAATACTTCTGTTTACTGCTACACACTATTATAATAGACCATTGAAAATTTTCTTAATTACAATTTCAGTATTCCCATTTTTGAAATTGACTTCGCCAAAACTTAAACATAGGAAAACAATAAATCCACTAGAATATTAAATGGAGCAACAAAGACAACGTATTTAAATAACTTTCACATTTCCTGATCTACAAAAACGTTCAATTAATTACAAATTAAAATAAAAATATTCTATAAGGTACAACAATCACCATTCTTTGATTTCTTCCAGCGCCGCTCGATATCCCCAAAACAACCAGAAGAAGAGCTTTCAGTCCTAGGCTCAAGTTGCACGCCCAGCGCCATTTACTCGAACTTCTCTTCAAAGCGCACACTCGCCCCATCGAATCGCCTAAATTACTCACGCACACCATCAAGATCTGCGATCGGAGAATCCGCGTCGGAATTGCAAACCTCCTCCGACCAAGACCCAACCAAAGAAGAAGAAGACGACGAGGAAGAGGAGGACAGTTTAGTCTACAAAATGGCCGCCGCGGAGGCGAGGGAGCTAAAGGAAATGGCGGCCGATGCGCCAACGCCGAGGATCCCCGAAGTCTGTGATAAAACTAACCCCGGTTTTGAAATGAAAATAGATGATATACCGTACGTCGACGAGCGGGACGATTTAGACGAGACCGGAGACGTTTTCTCGCGCACCGATTGCGCCATGATAAACGAATCGCCGGCAAAGGGTTCCGCGAACGCCCGAAATAAGCTGGAAAGAATGGCGAGCAGGGCGTCATTCATCATCGAGTCAGCACTTTGGGTCCAGCGATTGAATTCGAAGGTATCGACGGACTCCGATCGAATGGACAAACTGAAATCCGAACGATCCACCAAAGAAAAGTCGACGAGTGCCAGAAGAGAATCGAAATTCAAGAACGAAAGGAAATTGAGGAACACGGAGAGTCCTCCTAGGATGAGCAACAAAGACAAAAAGCTACTGAAAATGATCCTGGTGATATTCTCCTCTTTCTTAGTTTGCTATTTGCCGATCACCGTTACGAAGACCTTTAAGAACGCCATTGATTGGAGAGGGCTGAATATCGCTGGATATATACTGATTTATTTAACGACTTGTATAAACCCCGTGGTTTACGTGGTGATGAGCTCCGAGTACAGAAGTGCTTACAAAAACGTGTTGCTTTGTAGAAACGATCCAGCTACGAGGATTGGAGCTAGGAAACTGTGAAGATTGTGGACAGAGTTTTTAATATGCAGTGATCGGAAGTGGAAACTTGGAGACTGAGATATTTTGAACGCTATTTTGAAATATACATGTGTCATATTTAATGTACAGATGAAATGATAGTTTTAAACGGATAATACAATTTTGGCAAATGTTCTTACTTGAAAAACAGCGAAGCATACAATGAAGTATCTTGATATTGTATTTTGAATGATGTATTTCGAATATTGATGGTAAGGATAGGATGAAGTAAGGAATTGTATTTGTAAAAGATGAAACTGTGGAATTATTATTGAAATATAAGTAATCGTATTCATCGATGGTATTTAATAGACGAATTTGGACACAGGAGTTTAGAAAACATCGTTTACTTATGGTTTCAGTTAATATCCCCGTTACAATTTACAATATGGTCACGCTTAAAATTAATAAAATGAGAGCAACTATACAGAAGATGTTCCTAAAGAATCTGCTAGGTATCTAAACTTTACAGTTGTTAATAAATATAAGTTATCGGTAGGAACTTTTATTTATTAATCAATCAATGAGAGTTTTTCGACGTAATTTTAAATGATTGTCGATAAAGTTCGTTTACGTAGTGTCTTTACATTAACCTCGACTTATCAAATATATAAACGATTTACAGGCTAACACAGTATATTTACAAAATAAATAATTCGTCAATGGTATAGGAATATTTCCAATTTGATTCTTGTCGAATTGCACGTATTTAAATTGTTCGTTCATTTATTTATACATATTCAGTCCCTCGATTTGCAAACGAACTGTGGAACCGATATTATCAATCTTTCCGGTTTCACCAGACAAGTGAAATAGAAAGAATTGAACGAGACACCGTTCAACCCTTTACTTGCCAAAGAACAATACGTCGTCCCGACATACATTTCTGAAAAGTGCCAAAAACGATACGTTGCTCCTAGATTTTCTAAGTGCTATAATTCATAAAAGAAAGTCAGTTTCGTTTCATAAAAATGACATCAAAAATTAAAGGTACACATACATTTCTATAATTTTATGTAATTAATATCGTGTGAAAGTCTCCTTAACTTTAACTCAGAATTAACCGAACTATAAATTTATTTTCTACAACTATGATTTTTGCTTAAAATCGTCTGGCATTCTTCGTAAATGTATGAAAATTTCTGCTGGCGCTCAAAGGGTTAATTCATGTCCAAATTAGGGGGCACCGCTGCACTCTGCGTCTGTATCGTGCTGACGTTCACCTGCGTCGGCCATTTTTTCTCGTCATCTTTGCCGTTTCGCATTTCCGGCGTCACTTTGGTCACGTCCATGGAATTTTTGTCTTTTTCCTTGTACATCATAAAGCCTCCCATGCCCATTGTTATTATGCCGCCAAATATGGTTATGTATTTCAGGACCCTAAGTAAAAGAAATGTTATTTTCGTGAAAACCCATTACAGAATAAGTTTTTTCTTATTTTCGTGATTTAAATTTATCGAATCATGATTAGATTTAAGAAATGCAAAGATGGTTTAGTGCGAGAATGGTCCTTTAAATTAAAAATGATTAATGTGAAAAAATACTATCGTTTAAAGTGAAAATTAGTAATCATTACAGAATAATCCTTTTTTTTTATTTTCGTGATCTAAACGTATTGAACAATGTTCAGCTTCAAGAAATGTGCAGAAATAACAAAAATATCGGAAATTGCTAATCATGATCGATCATTCCAACTATTTAAAAGTTCATTAAAGTCGAAAGAAATACTTTACTTAACAACGGTCAGCAACGCGAACACAACTTTCAGCTTCTTCACGAATTCGTCGCCAAGTAGAATACCTTCGTCCACCCAGAAAAACGGAAACAGACATTCTGGGAAGTTTTTCATCAATTTGAACTTCTCTACCTTCGAAAGGAACATGTTGAACTGCAGCCTCTTGTGTGCACTTAACGGGGTGGCCGTCATTGGCTCGAAGTCCATGGAAAGATCATGGTCTTCCTATAAGAGAACAGTCACGAAACGTGAATTCATTGAAATTAACCCTTTACGGTCGAATGCCGACTACGGTAGTAATGGCGTCTTCGAACGTTGATATCCACAATTGAAGCTTGTAAATGAATAATATAATTATTCAAATAACAAGTGACTGATATTTGATTTTCCTCTTTTCTAATATAAAAATGTAATTTAAGACTTTGATGCATAGCTAATTTAGTTGTTTTAAGAAAAGAGTTTTAAACTATTTAAAAAATTCTCGTCATCGAAAGGTTAATAATGATAATCGAGAATATAGTACATGGTATATTTCCTTACATTCAAAACAGAATATTAAGTTCGGTTAAATAAAGTAAGCTAATCATGAACGAAACACGTATTCAAAATTGTTAATAAATATCTGAATTTCTTCAACTAATCAAATGAATTTTAAATAAAATATTTGATTTAGTAGTTACCTAAGTAAATGATATTTCATTTACATATTTTAATAGCAACTTTTACAGATACCATTTTGATAGAATTATTCAATTTAAATTCTACCAAATTTTAGATGACAGTTTTATTTCAACGACATTAATGGTTGTAAATATTTCTACATATTTAAGAAACAATATCATGCAATCATCAGCCTCCGATTTTAATAAAAATTCACAAGTAAAATAATCGAAATTATTGAATGCATATTTTTTAATCGATAATTACATCGTACGCCGGCCAAGTTTCAGCTACTGGAAATGTAAGCGTCGGTGATTTTATTAATATATTTTTAAACATCAATCAAACCGAAATTCGTAACTTACAAGAAAAATTAAGGAATTCGATTTTGTAATTTTACTTTGTATTTGTGTTATACATGTCTAAAAGGTTACATTAATGTAGGACTAGCAATTAGACGATAAACTAAAAATTAAATAAAAAGATAATTTATGTATATTTAAGTACCTTGATTATTAAATTCATGATAATTTAAGTACCTTGTTTGGATTAAGTCCGCCAACCAGCTGCAAATATTTCTCTTCCGTTCCTAAGAAATGTGGTTGAGAACCAACTAATGGTGCGCCCACGCATTTGTTCAAATCAAGTAAGTCTTTATCAAAACAAGTCTCTGGCGTAGGGCAATAACACTTATCCAGAGGATTTGTCTTCATGTCTCCAAAATTGCCTTCGTAATGATACGTATTGACACCTGTGGCACAAGGAATATATTGTTATTTTATTATTAATACTTTACATACAAGAAACCTGTTAACAGACTGCCTAATATTCGTATTAAAATACAAGACGGCTTAATAAATTTCTTTTAAATGACAACTTTAAGAGAAAACATTAAACTATTTTATTTAAAATACACTTGTTGGTTCACGATTATAATAATCGTTGTTATTAAAAGACAATCATTAATTTTCTATTTACAAAAATTCTTATATAAAAAGATATAATTAAATCATTAATAATCTAATATCTGATGCATATAGTTTTCGATATCTAATATCAATGAAAAGCTGTCGCGAAATGTTCTTGAGTTAATCATAATATTATAATTATTTAATACTGATAATCAATAGTAATTAATATTATTAGTAACATTGTAATATTGGTATTTAATTATTCTAACAATATTAAAAGCTTTTCTTTCGAGAATTCAAAAATGAGAGTTAGATTATTATTTCTATTACAATTACTACTATTATTCTACTACAGTGTAATTGTATTAGAATAATAAATTTTTATATATTCAAATAATAATTCTAATAAAGTATATTTCAAAATAATTACCACTACTATCCTAAATCAGTACACTTTTTCATTGCTCACGGTTCTCATTACTAGTATATAGCAACGTGACATACCTTTAACTTTACTTTTGTATTGAAACGGCGCAGACAGGCTTCTGCAGATTTCCGGCGAGAAGGAAACAATGTCGTCCTGCTCCGTCATTAACGGCGGGAAGATCGTAGAGTCGGTACCGTTAAACTGGTTGCAACGATCATCGGCCCAAATCGATAGCATCGGCTCGCCATTGAACTCAATCACACGTCCAGTGTCACGGTAATTTTTAATCCCACGAAGCACTCGGATGGTGGCAGGGTCAACGGATCCGTTTTTCTGCATGGACGTCAACATTCGATAAGGATCACGATAACAACAAGCTGAATAATGATGATGATGATGCCTTTATCAGATGACAAGACAATTAACTCTAGAACTACCAGAGAGGTCAAAATGATTCATTCCTGATTGCTTCTTTAATAATTATTAAAAATATAACTGTTAATTCTCTGAGAAATTACTATAGAAATTGATTCAACGATAGGTAAACTGAATTGTAAATCAATAGAAATCTCAATAGTAGCACTGTTGGAGTTTCCATAGAAAAATTTCGAAAACTCAGTTTGACTGTTCGGTAATTCTACTGTTTAATACAGATATAGAGTAACGGCGTCTAATATGGAACAGTTTCTAATATGGAACATCACAATATTTCGGAAAATAAATAGCTTGAAGTGTCGGTTACCATGGGAAACACTTCATTAGTAATAGAAAACAATCCTATTAATGGTTGGATATCAATTAAGAATTTGCCGTTGAATGCTAAGCATCAGTGTGTTTGGCGGTACGTTCAATTTTCTGAAAAACGAGTTGAATAGTCAAATTTCTTAATACAGATACGGCAACTTTTATTTTTCCATGATTTATCATTGAACGTGTTTGTTTTTCACTATCCGAAAGCAATTTGCCGTGAACTTAATTTCCTCTTACCATTCACCGAGTAAATTCAACGCTTTAGGGATTAATTAATTAACAATTGATCGTATGGTTAATTGTTAAATTGTGTCCACGTACCTTGCCAAACAAGGAGAACAAATACTGATCATCATCCAATGGTACTAAACTTTCTCCTTTTTCCTTCAACTGACTGCAAATCGCGGTCCCAGCAAAGTCTTTTACCCTACAATCGACGAAGAGCCCGTCGAAAAGTATATCACGAACTTTCGCTTTCACAAACACCGTCTGAGGTTTCTTGAAGATGCTGTCCACCCCCTTGTCTGCGGAGAATTCATCAAATGACAGTCAATATTTGCAGCAAAATAGAAAAAGGCCCCGCAAAACGATAAATGGGCACTCAAATATTTGAGTAATAATTAGATTGCGGGTCTTTCTAGTAAGGCAAAAATTTAATAACTGATTAATCGGGTAATATAAGGATCGATATAAAGTTAAATGAATGAAAGAGAACGCAGAACTTAACATCACTAACTTAACCCCTTCTCCTTTAATATCGTGACCCAACGAAAATTTTCAAGCGAATTCGACAAATCGGAATGTTATTTATTTATTTTGAATAAAAATGAAATATTACTGGTCTAGTATCAATTTTTATGTTTTATAGTAAACGTAGACACAGAATGAGCAGCAAATTTTTTCTTTTTATATTAAATTATCAACGATAAATTAGTTCGATCAATCACAGTTATAAAAGAAATTACAGGAGCAAGAGGTTAATTAATGAGATTCAATATATAATGAGAGATACTGTTGTTAACGGAGTATTCCCATTTTTCAAGTGAAGAGAACGGACATTTTTTGTCACACATTTGTAACCTATAGACAGCAAAGTGTTGTGAGAATCAATTGATTCTCTCTGTCAAGGCGAGGACTCTATGTAGGTGTCGTTCGTCACGTTAGCTGTTGCGGTCGTGTTATAAGTAAATCGTTTTCCACGACTCCCCGTGTTAGAATCTTTTAGTATTCTCAGGTAAGGCCAAGTTGACCTTCACTCTTGATCGAAATGTAATAATATCCAATCCGTGGTCGGAGGAACTTGACACATTGCGGACCAGACGTTTTGTCGTCGATCATGCTTGATAACCATTAAACATATTTCTCTACAACCTCTTGCTCTGTCATATTGCGTCAGGCTCGTGACGAAAATTTCAAGTTGAATTCGTCAAATCTGAACGTTTAGTGACTTTTTCTGAATATAAATTAAAGATTAGCTTTCTATCAGCGATCGTTAACCTGTGGAGTAAACGCAGACACGGAATAAGTATCAAATGATTATCTCTTTCTAATGAATTATTAACGATCAAGTAAGTAGCATCATCGAGCACAGTTCTGAATGAAATCATAGGTTGAATTTTTTGTTGATTTGTTGTTTTGAATGTTTTTTGTTTCATTTTTTGAGTTAAATACTCCACAGCGAGGAGTATTCGAAATTTTTTTTCGTGTCACTTATGAATTTTTCTTCAAGAATCTGAAATACCTTATCATCCACCCTTAACGTTAATATTTATAATAACAGAACATTTCTGTTCACTTCGATAAACTTTTACAAATGAATGTAATTGAAAATGAAAACAATGAGTGAAAAATAAAAGTATTGTTCTTGTCTGTGTAAATGAATTATTGTAATTATATATTATAATTTCTCCAATCTGTGTTAGAAATAGAGAAGAAAAATTAAAAGATAGCAATTCGTCAAAATCGAATGAAAATGTTATAAATATTATAATTCTATATATTTCTCTATTACGTAGTGTAAGTCGGGAATAGGTGACCCACATTTGTAAAAGAATTATTACATTATAAGTATTGTCGATACAGAATAAAAAATAAAATTTACTTATGGAAATAAATATACCTATACAAGAACAATAGTTAATAGATCTCTGTACAAAATTGCCTACGCTATACAAATAAATTGAAAATAATTGACAATTTTCATGAGATCGCCCTACATTCTGAGTTAATGAGAATTACCTTACGTATACAGTAACGTAAATTCAATTATAAAAAGGAAATTATAAAGGAAATTCAATTATAAAAGAATGTTTAAAAGTATATTCGCAATGAAACCCTTATTATCAATGCACGTTTCGTATTTTGATAATATATACTCACTGATAAGCCCCATAGCACTCGGTTGCTCGGCCAATACCATTTTAACCATCGACAGTATCAGTATATTTGGAAAAACAATTTCCTCCTCCCCGGTGAGCCCATTACTACGAGCAGGATTAAAGTACCACGTGGTTTTCACACGATACTCTATGCTGTCGTCTTCATCTCGATCGACTTGATCCACCTTCTGCTTGTATTCGCTGAAAACGTTGATTTTTACGTAAAAGAAATTTCATTCTGTTGTGAATTATTTTATGGGAACTAAGAAAAACAGTTGTTTCGACGAGTAAACGTTCGACAAGAAATAAATTGTTTCTTTCAAATAAAAACAAACATATAGGTATTTTTTTATTTTCCTGTGTGTGTTTGAAATTTTAATATATAAGAAACAATTATTTCGACAGAAATTTAAATATTAAAATATCGTAGCAATACATCTAACAACGCTCACTCGTAAAAAAATGGACCAACTTCATGAACAATCGGTTTTTGTCCCGCCATTATTTCGTTTGGATTCGTTACGTTGAATAGATGTATCTTGAAATCCAACGGAAGAGGAAAGTCCGTCCACAAGTCTCGCATCTCAGTTCCATGTCTCAGTGATACTTGCTGCAACGATAGATGAGTGTTTTTTTCTTTTAAATTCAAAATCTTGGCAAATCTCGGTTTCTCTTAAACATTTTATTTATTTGAAAGATTCAGTTGTCTTTCGCTTTTTTCCTCTGAATTATTAACACGTTGAATGCCATGGGTGCCCCGGTGATCTTCAAGCAAATCAAATTACTCTAATTCCCTCAGTTAAACTAGAAATATGCTACCTAATGCGATGACATTCGACAAAATGATCATGCCATCATAATAACGCAATTCAATTAAATAATTTGATATTGTATATTTGTCAATTTGTGTATTTTTCTCCGTGAAATCGTGCGGCGTTCAACGTGTCAATATTACGTATAATTGTATTGAAATAGTATTATCTTCATCGTTACCCATAAAACAACATGGCGACCACGTTGAATGAAAACAGGCGGGAACGGTAAAACAAGAACAAAGTAAAAATAAAATCAAATGAAAGGAATAATGTTACTTAACGGAGAAAACAAAGTAAAATAAACTGTAAGATGAGAGATTATTTGAGAAATTAGATAAAGGGAATTTTAAAGAAAAGATTATGAACAACACGAGGAAACACTTAATCGTGTCTTTTTAAAAAGATTATTTTAATTGTGCTACGACTTATTTTAATTGTAATTAATTCTTAGGTTAACGAAGCTTATGATATTATACATAGCAAAGGAAAATAAAAACGTGACAACATAGTGTGTATATGTTAATGACATATAATGTAAATGATACGTTGAAATATTCGTAATGAAGTACCACTATCGAAAATAACAAAGCAAAGCAGCATGAAATAACAATTACAGAAATAAGAATAGAATCAGACTATGATAACAATGATGAGTGAGTAACAACCATGAGAAGCAGAAAGTAATGGTCATGGTAGTCATGGATGTTTATCATGAAGTTAATTTCGCCTCGACACAGAAACTGATTCTTCGCCACGTATTACTAAACGTTATTGGAATTATTATAATCAATTAAATATTCCACCAACTTGTTTGAACAATATAGTGACGGTTATTAGTAGCTTTAAAATCTAACTCTTGTACAATGAAGTTAGCGATTAAATTATATGTATATAAAAAAAAACACAAAATACCATTGTTCTAAAACTTCTATCATCGATGAATTTTGTATATACCAGTATTATTCGTAAAACATAATAACATTGATGAACATATTGCGCAACAATGAGAAAGGCAGAATTATCGCATTCAACAAAATACAACCGTCTGTTACTGTGATACTATTTCACAGGAATAATTAAAATAACGTACAAGGAGGAAAGAAGAAATAAAATCACACCGACGCGTCCCGCACTTACTCTTTTTATCTGCATTTTGACGATCGGTGGAAATATAATCATTAGGACAATAAATCCGAAACCAAACATAGATCCGCCGATGATCATCAATTTTTTTGGCTTCATTTTAGACATCATCTAGACAAAATCATAAACGTAAATATTTAAACTATCCAACACACTTGCGTGGGCTGTTTGTGTACAATATTCGAAATGATTAAAAAGAGGGGAATACGAATTAAGCAGGAAGAAACGTAAAATACATTGAAATTATTTCCATTCGGAGTAAATGTAATAAAATCTGTCTATTCAATACATCATTACTGAAACAATGCTACCGAAAACCATAAAACACAATAAATAAACAACAAAACGAAAATTTTATCTGAATAATCGATTTAAGTGGAGTGGTGTAAAGTATAACAAGGATAACGCTGTTCATCCCACCTAATTCACGTTATAATGGACATAACAGTAATGAAATTAAATGAATAAATTAGTTAACAATACTCAGATGATTTCTTCAGTTACTATATATAGTTTTTAACTCTTCAAAGCGTGGATCATATTTACACAAGAGCATGTAGAACAATTTTAAACAAAATTTTAAAAATTTCAATATTTTCTTATGCAAAAAGAAAAGAAAACTGCGTTAAAAATTTGCACCACTAATATTTTGAAAGATATTATAGTAGCACTCACTATATACCTTGCATAAACAAATAGAAACCCAAAAATTCCGTGTTATAGCGATTTCACGTTACAAATCTCGCGTTGAATTCCTTTTTTTTATACTAGTTCTTTCTCAGCTTGTATTACTTTTTTATGAAAGAGCTCATTTTTATAGTTATTTTTCAATAATTTTTTAATCGCGTTACCGGAGGTTCTACTGCGCAAAATAGAAACAACAGAAAAATATTACTTCCTGACTGTCTCTTAAAGATTCACTACGAAACTACAAAAATCGGCACTTCCGGTTCACCTAGCGTCGCCGTAATATACCAACACCACACCCGCCCCGTTCGATCATCAGTGTACAATTTCCATTAAAATCCGACAAAACCAAAAGCACTCGATCAATCGTGAATCGATCCGAGTAGCACAGCGGCCGGTTCTTTTATCAAACTTTGAAAACCTTGCAATAGCCCGGGGCACGTAGCTTGTTCTGAAGTTTCCGGCCGGTCGCTACAAACGAGAAGATGCCCAGAAGCGACGAGTACAAACTAAGATTGATGCTCCGACGTAAAACACGACCACTTAGATCGTACAATAGTTGCTTGACACGCATCGTTTCTTCGAAAAAAACAAGAAATGAATAAAACCTGTTGGCTTCTGAGTCTTCCGGCCGCCGCGAATCGTACTACCTCGAGGTCCTAGCGGATTCTAGATCTCGGAAGTCCCTAGGAGCATTTCTCTTGCGTTTACACTACTACCACCGGACGAGTCAAATCGACCGACTCAGAAATATCTATTTTACAAGCATTTCAGTCACGAAGGCGTTTTTGCAAAAGATTTTCAATTAAATTTGTGTATCTGAAGAGATACAAGACTAGGAGACCATTCGAATCTCAAGAAACGTATTGTACTAATTTGTTTTAAAAATGAAAAATAAGTCACTTGCTCGGTAGTTTTAGTGTTAAAACATCGACCGCCACTAATTATTCGCTATCACAATTTTTACGCTACACTATTGCCTAATTGTTTAGAGTATTAAACATTGTTCAACGTCAGTTATCTGACAAGTTATAATTTTCTTTAAGTAGTTTAGAAGCTTCAGTCATCGGTGACCGCTGACAGTCACTCATTCTTTCTGCAGCAAAGACAAAAGGGAAGAATTATTAATTGTTCGATATCACAATTCTTACGTTACACTGTTATCTAATTCATGCTACTGAAGATTTTTAATCGGCATCAGTTATCTATAATTATTTTATAATTTTGAAGCTTCGGTCACCGGTGACCACTGTGGCGCTAAGAAGAAACAATCTGCGTTCACATATGACCACCGTGGCAGTCAACGTGTTAAACTGTTCGTCGCATCCGTTCGCACACCTTGAGCAAATTACGGACTCGTTGGAACGCAGCGATCAACGGTGAGCACTCTTTCGCGGTGCGACGATCTAGGCCGGTCAATCTTCGTATAGTTGCAACGAAAGACTGCGGTTCCCGATTCTTGTCGTCCCGACGTAACGACATCGCGTGTTCTGCCCCCACTCACCCTTTACTGACCACGGTTCTCTTATTTGTTGTGCGAGCGACGTCGAATCCATGAAGTGCCTTAACACTAGAACTACCTAACAATAGATTATTTTCAAGATCATGTCGAATATTCAATGTTATTAAGATATCAAGAATTGCGAAACAGAACAATCGAAACCAGTCATTTTGACTGGTAAGGTAGTTCAAGTGTTAAAACGAACTATCGTAATGGAAAATGGTGGATAATGAATAAATGATAATCATCTGTCCCCTGAAATTCGTCATGATACTTTGAACGTACAGGGAGCATTGAAAGTATTGTAGTTACTACAGGAATCTTCAGTTTTCAGTCTCTGTTTTAGTTCATGTATTTTCCTGTGAGCTATTGCAATTTTTTATCATTTCACAACCTCTGCAGTACAATGTTTTGGTATTCATATTTTAAATTTGAGTTTTTAAAGTCGCATGTCAGTATCTCGTTAGTTGAATAATTAAATTATTCATTTGCAGTTTTCGATTTTAAATTATGAAAGCTCGAAGTCGCCATTATGGTCACATTCGACTCGGAAGGGTTAATATAGAATCAGTCAATTTGATGACTTTTAGATTTTGTGTTTCAAATTGGAGCAATAATTCATCGACACCCCAATCTCCCAAATTTTATTTTCACTGAAGCGTTAAATTTTGAAACTACGTGTTACTTGATTTAAATGTTATAAATCTGCCGAATTGTTTTAATTTTTATTGTAACAAATAATAATAGTATAATACATGGACCAGTACTGAAAAATAAAAATTATCCCTAATATTTGCCGTTTATAGAGAAAAATTGAATTGAAATACAACAATAATAATTAAAATGAAATAAACAACAATTGTCTTTTGTCCAAACTCATACTTCAAATAGTTTTATGAATCTTTAAAATTACTTTATAATGCTGTAAGGACTAATGAAAGAAGAAAAATTAAACGACAAATACAGCAATTAACATGAACTTTATTACATATAAACAATATAATCTCCAATCTTCTCTTCGAAATTCTATCGGAATTCCAATTATTCCAATAAAATCCTAATAGAATTAATAGAATTAATTCTAATCCTAATTCCAAATAAATCTTATTAATTTTTTTCCACTTTTCATAGTATACTCTACATTTAAAACTTGTCATTTATCACATTAAACTAAACAGTTCTTTCCTGTCTGGCTCGTGTTATGGATTTATTCTGGAAACACTACGTAGTTCTTTGGTGTCAAGCGTGACGCCTATCGAACGCGAAGGTGCGGAAGAATCTATTAAATATGAGACTACTATAGTTCCGCCATTGGAACACACTAGAAACAAGAACATTCGTGCCATTAAGGAAGTTTAATACAATTTTAATACCACTTCGCGGCAGTCGCATTTCAAGATCTAGCGAAAATGCAAACGATTCAGTGTTAGAAAGCAATAAACAGTTTTCATAAATCAAATAATATAACGTAACGTTAAAAACAAGCAATAAATACACCAAAGATTTTATTCATGCTTAAAAAATCATTACTCGAAGACAGGAATGTTCGTGAGTAATGAATCTGGGAAACGTTAATTATCCTCTGCTCCGACATGTAATCACTTAGGATGACTACATAAATATTTTCAAAATAATTCGTGTTGACATTCGATTACGCAGTATCAAGGAATCTAAGACTAATATCTTGAACACTAAATATTATTACTTGAACACATTCGATTCTTAAATTCAATAATTCGTTAAATTTAATTCTTCCCTTGTCCTGTGATACCGTGTCAGACTCACGATGAAAATTTTATGCTAAATTTGACGAATCTAAATGTTGTTTACTTTTTAAATATATAAAAAAAAACATTTCTTTTCTATTATCAATCGTTAACGTCTGAAGTAAATGTGGCGAGTAGAATAAGTACCAAACTTCTTTATGTTTAATAAATTAAGATTACAGTACTGTTATCAAGCACAGTTGCGAGAGAAATGGCAAGGGGTTAAATAAAATTAATATCATTTATTATTTCTAAAAGTTGTAAAACTTGTGGAAATATTAATGTACGCTAGCAAGAAATAGTTTATGGTATAAATATTGAAAAAACGAGATTTTCTATTGAAACAATTACAGTAATGATAGCTGCGAATAACTATAGTTGTTCTATGGTCATTAAGCGCAAGTAACAGTGAAATATGATCATGACCTTTGCAATCCGTCCAATATAAGTACTTTTAAAAGCACGCTTAGGTGTTACTGATGTAGAGCATTTCCTTTACATTATAAGTGCATCCACAAGGCCAGAATGCGAACTTGCTTTAAAGAAACATTATTTCAGAGTATTATAGTTTTACTGAACTTGGCTGGACTATCCTGACAGCGCCAGAATTCCGTAATAATACAAAACACATCATACACACACACACGCGCGCGCACACACCTAGCACTTACACAATGAAAATTATCGAAATTGTATGAGAACTTGCGTATATTTAAAACAAACAATACAAACAATTGGAAACATAGAAATCGTACAAAATATAATGAAAACATGAATAAATATCGTGATTCACATTTTTCATCAGTCCAATCGAAAATGATGTCTATATTCCACTTCAGTAGCCACGGATCGTTTCACACCTGACGACTGAAATCGTCATTGGCAGCGAAAATGTTAACTTCCTCAAGATTCTTCTAGATTATTCTTCAAGAATAATCAAAGACGATTTTAATTATTCAGCTGAACATTACAAAATTTGTAGAATAGCAATTTTTATAGAATAGCAACAACAATGAATAGATTAAAATAAAAAAGTAAAAGTGTTGTTTAAACTTTTTGGACTCGAATTAAATTTCACTTTTCTACTATCAATGCTTGCGTTTTAGGATGAACGTGGACGTAGAACGAGCGTGAATTGCTTTTCCTCTTCTACTGAATTGCAGGCACGAAAATAATTGTACCGAGCGTGGCCGCGAAACAAATTATAGAACGAAGGATTGTAGAAGCGATACCATGTGCGAAAAGGGAAAACGATCTAGAGTAAGTCTGGTAGAGATGGTCCGCTTCTTTTGGAAGAACTATTGCATCGTTAACATCATTGGTACCTAACAAAACGAAATATATGTATGAAAGGAAATTACATATACAAAAAATAGTCAAATAGGCATCTGTGCAAGATGTTGCACTTAACACTAAAAATACCGAGCGATTAGAGTGACAACATATTTTCGAAGTTTTTATAAAAATTATAATAAGTTTCTCGAGATTCGAAGGGTCGCTTAGTCTTGTATCTATGCAAATGCGCAAATTTAATTAAAAATCTTTTACAAACGCGCCTTCATAATTTGAATACTTGCAAAATCAAAATTCTGAAGCGGATCAATTGATTCGTCCGGTGGTTTTAGAGTTAACCAATCAAAACCATAAACAAAATCCTGTTTCTCAAAAACTAATGCGGTTAACACTAGAACTACCGATCAGTTCCACTAATTTTTAAACATTCCTATATAAAAACCATAGAATTTCGTTGATTAAGATATCAGTTAAGTTATATTTTAATTCGTATATTAATAAATCAACTATTTTAATCATATCTTGAAAAAGCATTTCTATACTTTCAATTATTACAAAAGAATAAATGAGGAATGGCTCATTTTTACCCATCTAATAGTTCTAGCGTTAAGTCCATTTCTCGATATTTTCTGATTTTCGTAAATTTCAATGGAACAAATAATACTCTTTTGTCATTAAAGAATTCACTCGTTCCTTCGTTTTTTCCAGATCAGAAAATCCTTTTTACTTCTGAATCTGATGTATAATCATTTCAGAAGCCAAAACATTAGTCTTCTCAATTTGCCTTTTCAGGACTTAACATTCTGAGCGACTGATTCGTCAATCTAAATTCGATCAAGCCATCTTACCCGGAATTAGCGTATCCAAGCCACCGATCACCATTTGAACCATCCGTGAGACTTGTGCGCGTGAACGGCGACAGGTACAGGGTACGGCTTGGGCACGTGATAGGGTACAGCCACGTGGACTGGGTACGGTCTGTCTACGTGGACCACCTTTTCGTAGGCTACCGGATAGGGTTTCGGCACTGGGACCGGAACAGGGACAGGTCGATCCACTGGAACGTGGATCGGCTTCTCGACTGGCACCGGTACAGGTCTGTCTACGTGCACCAGCCTTTCCACGTGAACGGGGTACGGTTTTGGTACCGGAACGGCGACCGGCACCGGCACGAGACGGTCCACTGGCACGGGTACCGCGCGATCAACCGGTACTGGGACCGGCACGTGCTTAGCTACTGGAACTGCGACCGGAAACGGATGCGGAACCGGTTGCGGCACTGGCACCGCCACTGGCTGAGGGAACGGGTGCGGCACTGGTACGGGTACGGCTGCTGGAACAGTAAATCATAGACCAGGTCAATGGGTTCCGACCGTGGAAAGATTGACCTTTTATGGTCGTATGTTAACTTTTAATCGCGGAAGCTCTTTCACTGTTTTAGTGAAGTGAAACCTGGTGTTTATGTTAAACCCTTGCACTCGGAAGTATTTCGTTAGAATATTTTCTAACTAGACACAGACGATATTTTTTTAAATTAACTCAAAGAGAAATCGCAAGTAAATTGAGAAATAAAGCTTTTTTATCCCAATATTTCATACACTGATGCATTATATACAATATCAAGTTGTATAGTTTTACAACATGAAATCAAGTGCAGAAGGTTAAATAAAATTATTTTTGAAATTTGTGTAAAGTTTGTAGAAAATGAATTGCAATGGGTTTTCACCGGGGAAAGATTGACCCTTTATGGTGGTGTGTTAACTTTTAACCGCGAAAGCTCTTTTATTGTTTTATTGAAGTGAAACCTGGTATTTATATTAAATAAAGTTATTATTTGTGAAATTTGTATAAAATTTGTAGAAAATAATTAATTGCAATAGGTTTTGAGCAGAGAAAGATTAACCTTTGCGATTGTGTGTCTAATCTTAGCTATCAAAGCTCTTTTACCAGGAAAAAATGTTATTGTCTGAACCTACAGCAAATCATTTCTCTGCAAATTCATTTAGAAAAGTTAAAATTAATTTCTAAGTTCAATAAAGGGAAATAAATTTGTATAAAAACTATTTTCAAAAGTTTACAATTTACTTGTATACTTGATTCGATGCTTTATCGCCATCTGGCTATCTTGAATAATGTGAAAAGTGTACTAACGAGCTGGGTGTACTACGGCCGGTGGAGGTACCGGTGGTGCAGCAGCTTCCAAGTGTCCAGCCAGAGGCGGTAGACCATCCGGAAACGGAGCTTCGTAGACAGGTGCTGGCTCAGGAGCCCCGTACAGCTGTTCAGGAGGCAGACCATATCCCAAATTGACAAGACCTCTCTTATCGTGTTTCTTAGAGGCAATCCGGTTCTCCTTGTCCCTCTTGTCAATTCTGATTGCTGTACTCACTACCAAAAGCAGTGACAAAATCTGAAAACAACGTTTTCGGCGTGCAGTAAGTATTTCTATGTTCTCCAGGCGTATTGATTGCAACGTAACGTACTTAAATCGAATACAACTTAGAAAAAGATAATGTAATAATGTAATGTAAAATACTATTGATTAGAAGGTTGCAATAAGGACACTTATCACTAATATCATTGCACAAAACTGTCTACATTAGGAACTTATAGATACAACACTTTTTCCCTAATGTTTCTCCAAAGAGTTTTAAATAAAGTATCAAACAAATTTCACTGTATCACAATCTTCGGAAATATAAGTAACACTTCACTGACGTACACAATAAAAAGTTGATTCACGTATCATAGATTTGTGAAACAATTATTCACTACCCTAGTTACATTAAACTGTTTAAATAGAATACATGTTTACTGAAACACGATGTAATTATTAGTACAGAAATCAATTAAAGAATATTACAGAAAGAACTTCGATAATCCAAAAACCTTCTTGAATGTCTACAGCTCAGAGAAACCTTAAGAAGCAATTCTATAAAAATCAATTATCCTTCGCAAATTCATGACTTTGGTAAAAAAAATGCACTTTCCAAATTATTAGTTTCCTATTGTTTCCTAGCCAGTCAAGCTAAAGTTTCCTCGTTAGATTCACAATAATTGGACAGCGAGATTCGTGCATTTTTAGTGCAATGATACTTCTAATCAATTTACATTCGATTCTCGAATTTAACATGAACACCCGTTATTCGGTGATTGCGGGTCAACAAAACGATCAACGACAAGCTATACCAAGAGTGTCTTCATGATCGCGGCGCGGCCGGCTCCCGAAATCCTAGTTGGCAGCTACGGGGCCGATGGAAAACTGCGATTGCTCGGTATCTATGACCCCCATATATATTTATAGGGCACATGTCAGTGTGAAGACGATCTATCGTCGTTGTCAATGGACTTTCGCTGCTACCAATCCTGGGTGATGTCCAAATGGCGGTCACGACCGCTTTTCTTTCGTAGGCCGAAGGAAGACACCTCTCGCGGCGGTAGAGGACGGTTGCAACGGACAATACGGGGAGCATCATCGTTAGAAATGACAGTCCGCGTCGTAGAGATCGTGAGATAGCCGCCGGCGCGGTGAAAATTCTCTACGTGAACATTCAAATTAATAAGAGGCGTCCGATGCGTCCATTCGTGACACGCGTTTGTATAAGTCTAGTTATGGCGGTCTCGTTACGATTTTTTTTCTTCTGTTTCACTACATCCTGACGGAAGCATGGCTCTGACAAGGCCGGGGAATACTAATGTCCTTTGCGTAAGAAAAGTGGATTAGTCACCACGAAGACTTGTTACTGTCGTTTCAGAATTGTATAGGTGGCATACCTTTCCTTTTGAAGCTTTCCTTCTAAAGCTATATTGATAGTGTAATAAGGTGATGTTTGTAGGAAAATATAGAAGCAAGGTTCGACGAATTGGTTAATCTTCATAGATAACCTTAGAACCGTTGTTTTATGAGGTGTAGTGATAACTGGTAAAAGAAGATACCTCAGATTCATCTTTTTCTTACACTTTTCTAGTTTCCTTTTCGAAGATACAAAATTTAAGTCTTTAACACGTTGAGCGCCGCACGATATCATAGAGCAAAATACACAAAATGGAAAAGATGTAATATTAAATCATTTGGTTGAATCGCGTTATTATTATTGCGCGATCATCTTGCTCAATGTCGCCGCATTAGGTAGCATTGTTTGTAATATACAAATGTTTTCAAATAATCGCCGTTTCATTGAATGAACTATAGTAATTCAATTTGGTTGAGGTCACCGGTGCTCCCCATGACATTCAACATGTTAAATTGATTTCATCTTTACTTAATACGTTCGCGGACGTTAGCATTGTACAATGCTATAGCATTCATTTCCATTGTGATACAAAATGATACGAGTGCTATAATATTGAAATTTGTAAGCCACATTGTCATGAATTTAATTCTACATAGTCTTAATTTTTTGAAATTATTATGTACTTTAACCCTCGGAGTACGGCATTTGCACTTTTTCTATTTTTGCGGGTCATTAAAATTTGTATTGTCCGCGAATGTGTTAACCTCATCTCCTGTAATATCGTGTTAGAATCGTGATAAGAATTTTCAACTGAATTTGACAAATCTAAATGTTGTTTCTTTATTTTTAATATAATATCATGTTTCTTTCCTTTTCTATTTAAAGTAAACCTGAATACAGAGTAAGTATCAAATTCTTCCCTCTTTCTACTAAATTGTCAACGATAAAGTAGTTTTATCTAGCACATTTGTGAAACAAATTGTAGAACAAGGAGTTAAGCAATATTTTTCTTCCTTTCTTCCCATACTCGTTTACAAATCCATTCTCATTTTATGATCATTAATTTAAAGAGGATAAAATTAACACATTGCGTACCGGTTAATTCTTCGAACACTGGCCGATTTCTCAATGAGATCAACTTATAAGTTCTTGATGTATCACTATATGAAAAATATTCAAATATCTTATTATTTCATACGTATTAAACAAGTAATCAGTTCAAATAAAGTTTAACAGTTTTTTAAATGGTGTGGTAGTTCGCAAAATCACAACGATAGGTTTAAATAAAAACGATATTTCTCGTTTCCGGTACGCAATGTGTTAACACTTCGACTGCCAAGTAAATATTCATCAAAACTCTTATGCAGACGAAACAGTCTTGTTTTAACGCAGAAATTAAAAAATCAATATTCCTCATAACGATTGCTTTATTAATCTTATACCTCATATATCTAAATTAAGGTGACGTGGCAGTCAAAGTGTCAACGCTGAAACTACCAGACGGGTCAAATTGACCCCCTCCTAATTTCTTATTTTTGCAATTATTAAAAAGGTAACAGATGTTTCTCTGAGAATTTATTAAAGAAATTGATTTAGCAATACGCAGACTGAATTGTAAATTAATCAAACTCTCAGTAGCTGCACTCTTGGAGTTTCTATAGAGAAATTTCGAAAAATCAGTGTAACTGATCGGTAGTTTTAGTGTTAATGTTGAATCTTTGTAGGTTCAGAAGCTGGGGATTTTGTGAGTTTGGGTTAAAAATAAGATTTAAACATTGTCCTTTTAAGTTTATTCAGTTTTCCCATTTTTTTGTTATTGGTTATGATATTCGACGTACTCCTAATGTTTTTGACACAGATGATTTCATCGAAATAGACAGGATTCGTGGCAATGATCAGATATGGGTAAATGACTTGAATTCTTTAGACTCGCGACTTCAAGGTGGAGCCTTCACTCAGCTAACGAGATCAACGAAACCGGCCCCGACTTTTCTTGCACCAGAGACAGTAGCCGGTTTCCGCGTTGGCCGCATCCGCGAACTTTCCTAACTTTCATTTTCTAATACGTACGAGCCACTTCTAACGCCAGCCGCTACCTGCCATTCATTATTCATCGTTATGCTCCCCGGCGATTCCATAACACGTTCGAACGTGTGTGGGAACACCCTGTTACAGTGACGAAATATAGCGGTCAAGTTGGACGGCGAGCTTGAAATTATTTCCTAATTGATTTCCGCTTGATTCAATGAATGAATTTCGCTTTTCCCATGAATCGCATGCAATTTTAATACCTTCCGCGCGTTTTAAGTGATCGATTTAATTAATTAAAGCAGTAAATTTAATTGATTAAGGATCTAAGAAACGTGAATACAATTTTAACACTAGAACTACCGCATGCGTCAAAATGGCGGGTTGCGGTTTTCTTATTTCTCAGTTATTAATATCTTGAATGTATTAAATATCTCAAATGATTTTAAAAATATATAGGTTCACTTGAATACTGTAATGAATACATGAAGAAATCGAAGAAAATTTATTGTTATCATTTTTATAAAGATTATATATTAATCGTATTAAAGACTCGGTAGCTGTAGTGTTAATAGAGTAGATACCTAAGTAGTCGTGTAAATAAAAATTACATTGAACGAGTTAAATGATTTTGTATGATGAAATTATAATGTGCACGTTGATTGGAAAAATTTTCTTCTGCAAAGAATTAACAGCAGCTATTAATTACATGTTGTATTTATTATAGTCAAACTATAGAATTTTAATATACACGTATATTTGGTGAGGACTATTCACTAGCAAAGAAACTATTCAGTTAAGGAAAAGCAATTATTTCCTGCCATTGATCGCATATGTTAAATTGCGTACTTAAAAATATGTTAGTGGTAATAGTAAAACAATTAAGAAAGCTCTCGGCGCATTAGTGCGTGTTTCTATTTCGTAGTTCGTGCCCGGAACAACGAAAGTATAATTAAGACAAAAATGGGTAAGTGTTACGCGTACCTGATTCATTCATGAGATAAATAGTATGTTAGTAGACAATAAACTTGAGATTTATTCAATAAGTAAGTAAGATTTACTATTAATTCAATAAAAATAAGAAGTAAAACTGCAGTTCCATAATCTTACATCAATTCACAAATATTAAATGGATAGAGTATTGCGTTTGACATAGAAAGATAAAAATGACCAAGAATCGTATTTATATTAATACTGAAATGTTAACATAAGTAACAATATTATATAACATTAACAATGTTAATTCACACATGCATTCTATATATTAAGGGTATAAAGTTGAAAGAAAGCTAGCTTGAATATAGTAAGCTAGTTACCGTGCATATGGAAATGACATTTTTATTGTGCAATTTATAGAAAGAAACTACGACATATTTTCTTCGATTTATAACTTCAACACAATGTGAGTCATGGTTCTTTATCTTCAACGATTCTTGTAGTCTATTCTTGTGACGACACTGGAAACTCGACAAATGCATCAGAATAGTAAATTAAAAATGGAATACGACTGGGCCCGTCTAGAAGTAGATCAATTTTACAACAAGCTGTGCAGATATCAGAATGTAAAAGTTGCTTCAATACAAATTGTTCGGTTTAAGTGAAACGATATGCTTTTACATAAATTAGTATAAAAATAATAACAATTCTTTTATTATATAGAATAATTTAACATATTCATTTTAAAAACATTTTATTCGTTGTATACATTTACTTATGAATTACTATTAATAATAAGCAATTTTTAATGCAGAAATTGAATTGAAGGTATTAATGTTAATATTCTCTATTTTCCTACAACAATGAATTTGTCTATGATATGTTCAGTATTATTGCATAAGAGAACTCTTTCAGGGAAAGTTAGGAAATAGTATTGTCAACTTGTTACAAAATGGCCATGAGAAACACACGAAGTCACGTAAGACGCGAATATTTTCCTTAAGCTCGAACCAATCGATGAGCTATCTTATCACTATTCCTGTACCTGTACGTGACATTACATTATAAAATTATTTCAAATACACCAATAAGCAGAGTCCAATAATTTCTTTCATTATATTGCAATATATTTTAAATTAAGAATATTTCTCAATGTTAACAATGTTAAATAAAAATACTACAGGGTGATTAACAGTCACGATGAATATTGATTTGTACGACTATCGCTATAAAAAAACAATCCATAAATTATTGATTAATTATTTATTATAAACGATTAAGAGTAAAAACACAATGTGAAATTATTATATAAATGATATAATTGTCAATTATATTAATTTCGTCATGGTCATTCACGAAACTAATAAAATAGAATCGTTACAAGTTCGTTTAATGCCTAAAACATAAGAGCATTACATACGTATTCCAAGTATAGTATAAACATAAACCAGATTCATGGCGGCTCTTGACCACTTTCTTCACCGGAAACGTTCGACGGCCAATTGACAAGGCCGAGTTCCTGATCCAGTCAAAGACAGGAACCTGACCTGGACCTCTATCCAGATTCATCGATCTATCCAGTCGACCGGTACAGCAAATATATAAAAGCTACCGTTTTCTCGATCATGCGAACAGTTTCTTCGCAACGAGAGAACAATGTCTGTGATCCCGGTAAGAAACGCAAACAGCATTAACGGTGTCTAAGAATCGGTCCTTCGTGAAGTGATACAATTTCTCCGTGCAGTTTTTCTTCATTTCCATTAACGATGAAGTGTTTACAATTGGCACTTACACATTTCTTTCCAATTATTGTCGCCAGACAACGGATATTTATATAAATTAAACAGAAGTATCGTTAAATATTTTATTCTAACGAGTTTCAAACGACGATGTATAATAAGTGAATACATAAAATCTGTCGTCCATTTGTTCTTTTTTCTTTCATTTTCGCTCTGAGAAGAAGAACCTGGATCGATGCAGAATTAAAAGAGAAAGAAGAAAATTGTTTTATTATTTAACATAAGGATACCGTTACGAATTCTTGATGAAGACTTTGAGATACATTTAATTTTAGCTGTTGCTAATACTTTTCTGCGGATCCGCGTTCTCCACGGAATCAAACGAAAACAAACAAAGTAAACGTGGTATTCTTAACACCGGTGGATGGATTGGTTTACCAAGTCCCCATGGATACGGCCACGGACTCCCATGGGTGGCCGATCACGGTTGGAAAGGACTAAAGTTTCCAGCTTTCGATCTAGCCCACGCAGGGTAACGATACAAAACTTATATATTAAAAATACAACAACAACAATGATTGTAAAAAAAATGAGAAATTAATTAATTATTACGGATTCATTTTTATATAGATCATACGGCGGTATACCGTATGGTAGAGCACCAGCCATTTCTGTAAAAACGGTTCCAGTGTACATAACAAAGCACGTAGTCTTAGAAAAGCCAGTTCCGGTTCCTGAGCCAGTCATCATCGAAAAACCATTCCATATACCGGTGGAGAAGGTGATACCTGTTCCGGTCGAGAAGATCATTCATAAACCAATCCCGGTTCCGTATCCAGTGCCCGAGGTAAGAGCTGACTCCCAAATTTTGTTCTGGTACCATAGTCAGTGTCGTTCCCCAATATACCATTTTCAGAATTTTCTAAACAAGAAAACAATTCAAACGCACAGAAGAAAAGTAAAATTTAAATTACTAATTCAAAAATTTTTGAAAACTAATAAAGAAGTGGATCAAAAACATTCCATTCAATTTAACCCTTTGCACTCGAGAGGTGACTCAGTCACCATTTGATTTGATACAGCAAAACTATGAAGTTGAATACTTAGTATTTTAAATTCAACTTCGTATTGCTATAGGAAATATTTAAATAAAACACCTTTGTCGCTTAATTTATCTGTGAATTATCGTTAAATTAGTTTCAAACAATGTCGTCTGTATCTCGTCGAAAAATGTCAAATATTTCCAGTGAAAAACTTTTGAGTGCAAAGGGTTAATATAATTTCCATCGCTAGTTGCCGCCATTTTAAATTACACATTGCAAACCTAACTCGCGAGACAAGTTTCCCTAATACTTCTTCGCCCGTTTCGTCTGAAACAAAAGAACAAACAAAAAGATTTCACGGGAGGCAATGGAAATTCCATCAGAGAGTATTTCTCTGAATCACTTTCATCGGTGGAATGCGACTCGTCATTAAGATGTAGTGCAGGCGTGCACATATATGACATTCGAATTCGCTTGTTCCTCAGGCAGTTCCGATTCCGGTGGAACGACCGGTGCCGATACCTGTAAAACACCCTGTAGCCGTGCCAGTACAACAACCGTATCCGGTTCCGGTGAAGCAGGCGTTCCCAGTACCGGTTCCGGTTCCAGTTCCGATCGCAGTGCCGCCGCCAATTTCCCTGTACGGTCCTGCCCCGTTCCCAGCGGGAGCTATTTACGCTCGGGGTTATGGCGGCGGTCCCTTTTACCAAGCAATTCACGGTGGCCACTTCCCAGGAGCCCTGGTCCACGGCATTGGCCATGGATTTGGTCATGGATTCGGCCATGGGTTTAGTCATGGATTTGGCCACGGATATGGTCATGAATTCGGCCACGGACACGGTCATGGCTACGGCCACGGTTATGCACACGGTTTCGGGTATCCTCATCTTTCCCATGTTCATATTCACGATCAGGGGCATGGACACGATCACAAGAAACGAAGCAAAGATTGAACAGTGGAGACTGGTCTGCGAGAATCGTCTGAATCATCGGGCCAGCAGAATGTGAATAATGAACTTAACCACGGCCCATGGTTCATCTGACAATACCGGAGATCGAAAAACGTATCAGTAAGGAGTCTATATTCTTGTTCAATTTATCTTTTCGTTCATAAGATTTTATACAAAGACAGCCATACCATATGTAGCAATACAGTTATAGAATGTAATTAATGGAATGGGATAAGGAGGCAATTCCACGGTAAAGAAACGAAATTCAACATGTGGTCTTTCGGAACCGAATCTGGGGTGAAGGCTTAAACTCGTTGCCTTACAATCGTTTTAACCCTTTGCACTCGGAAGTTTTTCGCTAGAAATATTTTAACATTTTCTGATGAGATAAAGACGATATTTTGTGAAACTAACTCCACGAGAAATCACACGTATATTGAGGAAGATATTTTATTTCAATATTTCTGAAATTTATGCATTATACGGAGTATAATATTAAATATCAAATTTTATAGGTTTATTGTATGAAATCAAGTGGTGAGCGAGTCACCTCTCGAGTGCAAAGTGTTAATGTAGTAAAATTAGCTTGATAGACATATTCGTGAACCTGTATGTATTATTTGAGGAATATTAAGCTTCGAGTTGTTTAAATTTATTATTGAAAACTTTTCATCTCGGTTTCAAATGTCTGGGAAAAATATGGATAGAATATGTAGTCCTTTTTGTGTCGATTCCAAATGTTTGTGTTTGTCTACGGGTAAGAAGGTAACGGAAATGGAAGAAAACACTGTTAAGTTTTGTGGTGACCCGGATTAAATGGATATGCTGTGATTGATGTGATGCGAAGTTCGGAATTGTAAAAAATGCTTTGTATTCTAGTCTTGAACAATATAGTTTTAAAATATTTCATCGGTTTTCGTAATATAACGACTCGCATACTTTCGTCACACAACTGAGTATTTGGGAGATTGTACGATAGATGGGAGTTCATGCCCTCACCATTACTCCTTTCGTGAAGGTTCGGCACCTGCCGGGTTTAGACGTAATTACCGTTACAATTCTGATATATGTTTTACGAATAAAAAGAATCATGTTATTTAAACGTCAGATGGTAACTAAGTAACATTAGAAATATCAATATTGAGCACTTGTGACAAAAGTTCTTAATTGATTCTAGTATTAACATAAAATACACTACAAAACTTAGCAGTTGCTGCTCTCAATATATCTTTCATAAGGCAACGAGTTAATTGTTTCCAAACTGTAAACGTTCAGATACCATTTTTGAATTTACGTAAAAATTTAAATAACAAATCTGTTGTCATCGCATTTAAATCGCTCAAGGCGATTTATCATTTCTATCAGCGTAAAATACTGGTGTTTAATTACTTATGTAAGGCCATTAATATTATTTCAGTATCTGCATTATTACTTATATCTGCAGCCTGAATATATTTAATATCATCGATACAAAAATAATTTTCACTTGATTGATCATAAAACATAGTAAATCAAATGCAAAGAGTTAACGATAAGTCTTAGATTAAAAGTGAAAGTATGTTTGACGACTGCTGTTATATATTTGGTAATCTCCGATTGTTAAGTTTTACTTGTACTATTTCTTTTTATTTGAAAATGTTAAATATACACACATGTTTCATATAAGACTAAATATATTAAAACCTGATCCTCTCCGTTCAGCATTATAGTTTTATATAATACAACTGTAACTAAAAAATGAAGTTTAATTATAACACCTATATGTTCTCATAAATCGCTGTCTCCCTATGGTGTGTATGCATACAGTTATACGCCCTGTTCCTGTGAAAGTGTTTCTCAACCTTACGTCGAATGCATAAAAGAGTAGTAGACCTTTCACATCATATTATACAGCATGCAACGTTGTAAAGATTAATATATTGCACAGAGTTAAAAGACTCATTTTTAAATAGATCTAGAACGATTTTGAAATATTTTCTCTTATTTTGGACGACATGCACAAATACATTAAAGAAATTTAGAAAGATAAAGTTGAGAGATACTTCTTGTGTCTCCGAAGGCAGGTCATCGGTTGGACGCGCACCGAAACGTCCTGTCAATTTTGTGTAATCAGAAAACAGCTGATCAAAGTTATTTGTGCGTGCATAATTATGAAAATTCCGAATATGATGAATCTCGCGCAAGATTTAAAATATTAAATGACGGTCCTCTTTCTCGACGTATGATTCTTTCTCCCAGTCTGCCGATGCGTCTTTGAAGAATTCCACGCAGATACAAATCAATGTTTGCTCCACGAAGAGCATCTCAAGAAGGAGTCAAATTAAGTATCTGTATGTGAGTACGATTTATTTGGCTGATAATTGGCATTGATCAGTGACCATTTTCCTATAATTATCGTATACTTACGATTCACCATTACGAAAGGAGATAATGCGGCAAACGAGCGAGAAAAAGGTTATGTTTCACTTTTGAAAACTTACTGTGTAAACATTCTGCGGTTATTGTAACATTCTATCTTTTGTATTACAGTAATCGCGTAAACAAACTGTAGCAGTTTTGCGAATATAGAATGTTAACATTAGAGGACGTGGAATGCAAAGATTTCTCCAAAGCCACAATGGAAGATGAGGAAACTAATGAAGGTAGAATGGATGGAGGAAACTATGAAAAGAACAAATATCAGATAACCAGTGAACAAATACTCAACACAGCACTTTTGTCTTCAGAAGATGATGATGATGATGATGATGATGACGACGAAGACGACGAGGATGATGATAAAGATGATGATGATGATGATGACGATGATGATGATGATGATGATGATGATGATGATGATGAAGATGAGGGTGATGATATTGAATCTCAGGAAAATAATGTATCCTCTGAACTCCTTTCTATTGAAAATGACTCTGAACTTACTAGTGAATCCGCTATTACTGATTGGAACAACCTCAAAGTAGAATCGCCTCTTTCATGTATTAATTCTGTACCGAACAGTAAAGAGTTTTTTTTAATAACTCAATTAGAGTCAGACAATGCACTGATGACAAAGAAATTATGCAGTAAACGTTCTCTGACTAATAAAAAATCTAAATCACAGTATCGTTCTAAACGACGTAACAAAGTATTACTGTTAAGACAGCTTTTACCTAAGCATGAGCCGATAGTTGAAATAAAGGAAGAAGAGCATTCTATTATTTCTACAGAAATTGATCATATATCATCCATGGAAGAAATAGATTATGAGGAATCCATGGATGAAATCGCTGATTCTAAGGGTAATATGAGTCGTATACAAAATTTTCCATCTTTGCCTTTATATTACACAGAAGATGGTAAACCGTATTTAAAATGTTCAGCATGTGGTGCAATATTTTTTACTTCAAACTCATTTGAGAAACACTTGTACTCACATATGTACGAGGAAGACGACACTTTTGTATGTTCCTTTTGTGATTATACGAATACTGAGCCAGGAATGTTATTTACTCACTTATCTAAACACCAGAATCAGTGTGAATTTTGTAATGAAAACTTATTGCGTAAAAGTAATTTCGAAAAGCATTGGGATATAAGAGCATCCAACTTTACTATGAAAAGAGATCATCAAGGAAGATTTGTATGTACGTTGTGCAAGTTAGTGTTTGATCTGTTACCACAATTGGAAAAGCATTGGCTTAAACATGCTTGTAGAAGAGAACGAACCTACCAATGTAAAGAATGCAGTGGACTGTATGAGAGCAGAGAGACGCTAAAAAATCACAAATGCATGAAATGCGCAATTTGTGGGAATGTTTATGATAGCTTGCACAGATTAAAAATACACACCATGTGGACAAAACACAATATAAAGTGTCCAATTTGTTCTTATGAGTTCATTCTAACCATGGATCATGAGAAACACTTAGCATTACATAGACAAACGTTCAGAACTATGAAAGCTTATCTCCATTGTCTGCAGGCAGCAGATGGAAAAACATTCCAATGCAATCTTTGTGACAAAATATTTTATGCCTTACCTGCTCTTGTGTTGCATCTTCAAGAAGATCACAATGTTCAAAATGTCAAACAAGAGGTCCAAGATGATGATGAATGTAACGAAGAAGAAAAAGGGGAGTCTATTAGCGAAATCTTACTTCGCCAGCTAAAAGAGCAAACTGTAAATTATATGAATAAAAACAATAATTTAAATACGTCAAAAGATAAAGTCGAATTCCAAAATACGCTATGAATTTAAGATAATGCCAGCTAAAGTAGAAAAGAAAATTAATACAAATGAAATGTAAAGGATCTGAAACTGATATTTAAGATTTACTTGTAATAATAAAATGTGCCGTTGGTAAGGATCAGTCACTCTGTAGTATATATTAAGTACAATTAAACATGACTGGCGATGAACAACTTATAAATTATTGATAGTAGCATGTATTCAATAATATCTGATCAAAAAGTTCTTCAAATAAACTGTATCACAGTTTCACCTCACTTGACACAGGGATGAACATATACTTGTATATTTTTTTAGCGGTTGTGTAAGATACAGAATGTCGCTCGCTTAACCAGATACTAAATATTGTCACAGAGACGATAATATTACTTTAAGAATATAATTAAGAATCTCATGCGAATACTCTGCGCGTGGAACTTTTTCGATCAGATAGCAAGGTAATTTTCTAGCGGTTTCTTGAAATAATGTAATCACCGTGTCATACATTTTCTGTGTTTTGTATTAGGAGATGTAAACTTTAAGCTAAATGTGACATTTGCATATTTGGCTGTATCATGTCTGCCCCTATGTATCGAGAAAGCAATATAGAGCTATCAATCCTGCTGTAACTTCGCCTAATTTTTTTTATTCTACCTAATTTGTAGACTACGAGTCTTATGCATTTTTATAAAATATCTTACGTGTATAGAATAATATAACAGAATTGTCTTACTGAAAATTTATTGACAGATGTTTATTTTTGTTTTATAACTTTAAATAAAAGAAATAAATTGTTGATAAATTCCCGGTTTCGAAATCAGAATAGTCTAGGTTTGTAAAAAGATCCGCGGTCTACCGATTACTTTATGTTATACATGTTTGAACCAGTTTATAACATTTTTATAACGTTTATCACTTTTCTATGGATTAGTATTGATCAATAGGAATTTCTAGAATTCATCATCATTTATGTAAGCGCAAACATTTCATTAAAATTACTGCATAAAATGCCTGGGGTAAACATGATACAAGATCAAATGGCTGGAAAACATCTGAAACTCGCTGTTCGTTTTACTTTTATGCGTATTAATAGAATTTCATAAATATATCGGTAAATCTTACGGAGTACAATCACTCGTAAGTCTGATCATCGTATTTAGGTCTATGTAATACGCACGATAGCTCGCATAAAGAATTAGATCTCTTAACTATCCTCTGTGAAAAATAAATATTCATGAGTAGTAACATTTTGTTTGTACATTTTCTTTTTTTCTTTAAATTTTTCTCAGTTTTTTATCAAAGCCGAAATAATAGTATATTGCGTTTGTAAGATCTTGTAATCAGGAGGTTAGAACTTGGTTAGTATACGATCTGGTCAATTTTAACCAGAAACATTAATGCGACAGATAAAAACAGTACGTAGTTTTTCTTTTTCGTGAGTTCTCATCTCTCGACAACAAGAGTGAAAATACTTTGGAACGCGCAATTATTTGACATTGCATTGTATGGTTGTTAATACACATACACATATATAGAAATTGTTGAAGATCTTCATATACTTCAATGTACTTCACACCGTTGCTCCCTTTTCCGTTTATCACTTACTCTCCAATGTTATTTCATGTATACAATAAAGGACAAAGCTATACTTGATCATATCCATCATATCAGATCATATCCATTGTTGAGGGAATCTATAGTCTTTGTCACATTATATTGATCAAGTTGTTGTAATCTTGCCAGTATATTAGACCATTCAAATTTATATAAATTCGGATTCATAAAAATCGCGTTCTCCTCATGGTGCTGATTACACGCGAGTATGAATTTGACATCGTTATACCATATGAACCTGGTATGAATCAGAAATATACCCCATCATCATTTTTTATGTTAGAGTCAGTATAGAATTGTCAGGCATAATTTAATTTATGCTTCTTTAATGATTAAAGCCATTCAGAATCTTTCAGTTATAAACACCAATTTTCAACTCATCATTCACAGATCAATTCTATGCATTTTAATGAATATTTTTTTTTTGTATTTTATATACAATCATAAACCAAAATGCCTTGAAACCTCTAAGGTACAGTCCTTTTTCTTTGGCATAAAAAAATCATATATATTTGTATCTATTGCCTTAGCAGGTCAACAGTTCATATGTGTACTACATAGGATGTAGGTGATGGATACTTAAAATTTGATACTCAAATTACACAATTCATAAAAAGGAAATTCGAACAATTCATGAATATCACAGACGCCGCGGTTTTTAATCAAGAAAAGGAATAGAGAGTAAAGGTTTACAGATGTACGAAAAAAAGTATTTGCCTGCCCAATATTGTAATTTAATCATTACAAAAATACGCGCAAAAATAGATAACGCCACTGTTAGAAATGGAGTACCGTGGCTATGTCAAGTTCACCCTGTACGAATAAGCAGCATCACGAAAATTAAAATATCGGGATGCACATATTAAAGCAGATCGTTGATCGCAGCCGGCATTCGACAATGGTTAGGTAAATCGCTGACCTGCAGCCGTTAGCGCTCGAATGAATATAAAAAGAACTGTAACCACACAACCGGAACGGGTCGATCGTTTGCTTCTTAACCCTTAGATGGCGGTGTCTGGCTCTATTTGGATTCGGTGTCTCAAAGACTGCATAACTTCTCATTTTCTGGCGGCCAATTTAAACTGTTAATTATTTATATTTAACCCAGTAAAGAGTCGAAGCATCTTAGAAAAATCGATAAATAAGAATCCAAACTGACTTAGGCATCGCCGCTAACGAAGTTACAAAACATCCGCTTTCTAAGGGTCGACCGATAAATGTTAAAAAGCAAATGCCAGTTTAATTAGTAATACCGATACTAACACAACGCCTTAGTAAATCTCTTCAGTACTAAATGAAAAAAAAAACATTGTTTCTGTATAGCAAAGTTCATATCCGGTTTGTTTATTAAGCCTTGATCCATTGTTCCACGTATTCAAGCGCGGCTAAAAGAATTTTCTTCTCCGTCACTCTTAGCTGAATAGCTAACTTCCTCATTTGCGGTAACGATGTTTCGAGTAACTGCAGGTCTTCCTAAAAAAAAAGAAGAAATAAAAGACTTTAATTACTTAAAAGACTGTAATGACCGTGATTTTGTGTCTGATAGGGAGTCGCAATCGTGTTGCGGACGGTATTTTCGTTTCACTTTCACCTTCAGAGTCGTCGGGTAATTAGCAATTAACAGCTGCAGCCTAGTAAGCAGAAATTTCCTGACGTTCTCCTCGACGATGGTCTCTAGAGCGCAGTCCATATGCTTTAAATCGTAAACCCGGTCCGACCGGAGCCAATGCGTCAGTTCCTGTTTGCGCATACTGAACACCCTCAGGAATGCCAACAGTAAATCGGATATTGGTTCCGTTCCTGGCTTCAACAGGAACTCGCCCACCGATGGTAGGTCCAGCTTGTTTAATAATTCGATGCGTTCCTTTTGCAGAGAATCTGCTTTACTGATTCCAAGACGCAATTTGAAACCGTCCTGAAACAGTATATATTCTTTTCTTATAGTATTAATAACAAACTCTGTAATAATGGGAAAAAATATCATCAAATTGATTTTTACGTTTCATAAGGTACGACTAAAAGAGAATTTCAATAACACAGACAAAAAAAATTAAAGAATGTAATTTTGATAATACCAGTTACGTTCTTTAATTTTATATTGTATATGTAATAGTTTTCTAAAATATTTTCTTAATCTCTTCTAGATGAATATACTTAATGTTGAACTTAATAGCAATTTGCTTAATTTAAAGTGATCGATATAATTTATGTATATTTATTTCAATAATTTATTTTAATTTCCTACTGTAAAATGTTAATTGTTCGTGTAAAAATGATTGTCTCAAAAATACTACAAAAAACTGTGTTAGTGATTCTCTCGAGTAATAGAGTTACTCATTGTACACTACATAGTGGCTTTCAATGGTGTAAACAACAGTTCAATGCCCTTTATTAGCCGCCATTATTCCTCCAAGTATCAACACGTCGTTACGTTTATGTAATATTCATGTCTGGTTGCCACTCGAATAAAGTAGTATTTCATTGTTCAGTACAATACTCGTAAAACATCTCGCACGAAAGAAAAAAACATATTGAATTTGTTTGTTCATCTTGTAATATAATAAATCAAATAACATAAAGATTCTACAATATAATTTAAAATACTCTTTTGGAGGATTCCTTTGTCTGCTTTGATGAACAATGTTACCTCTTTGTTGTCCATGTACACGAATCCCGAGTGCACGAAAAAATCAGAATTCGTTCTAGGCCCGTAACTAATGAATATTTGGTCTCCTTTCTTGAAGTTCCGCAGAGCGTAACACTCGCAGCGGTTCGAGGTCGTGTTGAAATCAGTGGTGATCTAAAATGAAAACAAGTCGATACAAAGTCACGCGTCATCATCAGTGATGAGTACACCAGCTACTTGACTGCTTTTAGACCCAAACTATTCAAACATATTTCGATCCAATCAAGTACTTTCAAGCTTAACCTTCCTCAAACATCACAAGTACGACTCGTCGAAGCTTAAACAACTTGAAGTTCAACTTTCCACAAATAAACACCAATTTCAACAGCTTAATAAATTTGTAGAGAACTGTAAAGAATGAAGGAACGCAAGGTTCAAAGAAATACACCCTTTGCACTCGACAGGCGACTCAGCTGCTACTAGATTCATTACAGCAAAATTACAAAATTCAACATTTAATATGTAGCTTTATATGATATATTAATATGTGGAATAGTGAAATAAAATAGCTTCGTTCCCCAATTTACGTACGCTTTCCCGTTAAGCTTGTTTGATACACTATCGTCTACATGTCATCAGAAAATTTTGAATGTTTCTAGTGAAAAGCTGTCGAGTGGAAACGGTTGAACATTCAAAACAATTCAATTTTCCAGTTGTTTAAGTTGAAACATAGACATGCTGAACAAGTGTTTTGTGTTGGTTTTTATTAGCTGAGATATAAATCAAACTGGAACTTCTTCGAGAAGTTGTAGCCTAAAATGCTCGAAGACCCATCGCCGGTCGTCGTTAGAAGCATATGTTAAGTCTCGATTCGTGGAAACTCACTCTCCCGTTCACATGATTGCACATGTCCCACATCGGGATCAAAGCGTGGATCATGCGTGAGCCGTCCTCACTTGGAATTAGGTTCTGCCTCGTCATAATCGTAGAAACTGCCCAGCTGAAACAGGGATTTCATCACATTTCGTTGCGGAAATATGAGTTTTCCAACCGCGCACCGCTATCAGGGGGAATTGCAAAGCGATTCGACGGAATTGTGAAACTTTTCACCCGGTTATTACTTAAGCAATTAATGAGGAGAACCGAGCATAATGTTTATAGAAGATAATAGTAACCCATGCAACTTCTCCAACACGTTGACTGCAATTAATCTCATACAGATGATGAAATAATATTTCACCGATTCGTAAAATTTCATTTTTGCAACGACATATGGTATTGTTGTATTAGTAAACAAAACTCCACTCAGATTTGATAAATGAGAAAATGTTAATTTTCTCATCATGATAATTATTAATTAATTATCAATTCATTGATTCAAAAGAATGAAAGGAGAAGCAAACTTTCGTAAATATCTATAAAAAAAGAACTATCATCCTTTCTGGCTTAATTGAAACAGAAATATTAATATTGCATAAAACTCTAATAAACCTTTTAGTTTTATTACTATTCGACGTTTAAATATCTGTAATGTTTCTTGAACGATCGTCTGTCGCTTTCCAAAATGATGCTTCCTTCAAAAGTTATCATTTCGTAGATGAAAGTGATGATAAATGTGATTGGAAAAGGAATTAATCGATGTACGTATCGCATACATAAACGAACAGAAAGGGGATATTCAACGTATAATATTAATTATTAAATTTGAACTTTATTTAACTAATTCAATTATTCAATGTACTAACTATTCACCTATAAGTCAAAAATACAACAAAAGGATCACACTAAAAATCTAATTTCCTAAAAGCGTAAAATTTATTAACTATTCATCTATAAGTCAAAAACACGATCATGTTTCAATCCTCTTTTCCATAATCCCCATTGTCCATTGATTTACGCACAAACCTTTTCGTAAACAGCAACAATGTAACAACAAAAAACAGATTAGAAAGGTACGATTTAGGTGAATGGTTCGCATTAGGCGACTCTCCCGCGGATAGAAATTCGACGAGTAGAGGTATGTATTTATGGGCACGCGGACGCCGAAATCGTGGACAGAGAAAAAAAGGTGGAAGTGACTTTCGCCTTCGAGAGAGGCACGCTTAGAGTATCGCTGGAACAGCGGCCATGGGTTGCTTTTCGGGCAAGAACTTGACCCACAATTCCGGAAATGGAAGTAAAAGAAGATTCATTGCCATCGTCGTCTCCGCGGTGTGTTCCCTCGACTTTCTCTCTACCCCGGGGGAAGCGTTCGCGTTTCACGTGCGCCAGCGAGCAAACGCGCGCCATAGTCGAAGGAAAACAGCGTGAGCGCGAGCGCGCACGAAGGGAAATGGCGGACGCTTTATATGGCCGCGTGAATTCGAGACAAAGACTCGTAAACCGAGGAACGAGATGAAGAGAACAGAAAACTATTCAATGCTCATTCACTTTCTAAAATACCTGAAATACGTCGCGGTACTTGGCATAAAATCACGAGACGTTATTATTTTACAAGTTCTCCAACCGACTTTCGACGAATTATGGTCTTCCATGATCGAGCTGCTGACGGGGAACAAGTGTTTTTCGCTATTAGGCGAAGGATACTGACGTCGTTAACGTATTGTCAGTTTGCTGTTTGATTGTATGAGTGAGAAAATAATCTATCCCTCGATTTACACGGTACTTTATTTACACGGTTTTCAAAATAATAGATTTAAAAAATCAAATTTTAAGAATACTTTCGCACGTGTTTCTATAGTAAATTTTTTATTTTATTCGATTGGTAACACAATCATGTTAAATTTGAAAAAGGGAATCCTCTTCTTGTGTATTTACACACGAGAACCATTCATGTGAAGTAGAGTAAATCTTTAGCAGTAAAGTGTGTATCATTGTGCTTTTCCTATTCAGAATTTTTTAAAACGTTATATGTAGTGATAAACAATTATAGTTTTTGTAGGATTTTTATAATGTAGTTAAGATTGTATAGGCTTGATTTCTTGGTTGTCTTGTATATGTTAATTATGTATTCTGCACGTTGAAAATGTAAAAATGAAATAAACTCAAGACTTGTCAAAATATTACATTATTAACAATAACGTTTGTGTTTTATGCAATGATAAAAAACGATAAGAAGAAATTTTGAAAACTTTATGTAAAAGAATATTTTATTAGAATTTACTATTGTTCAAGATAACTTCTATACGTTCACCTAACAATAAAAACAAACCACAAAATAACATTTTGTGTTTTACTTTCGGGAATGACTCCTCGATACATGTATCGTACGGCTCACAAGAAAATGACTTTTTCTGTTGAGGGAAATAACCGTGTAAGTATTTAAGAAGACATTTTATTCGAAGCAAGCTATTACTGAAAAAATTTCAAGATTGTATGTTTTCTCCTTCGAGCATAATCTGAAGGTAACAATCTCGCTCTAGTACTTTCTTGTCTGGATCACCGCAACGGGACAAAAGTGGACAAACGAAAGCTCCGATCGTATTGTCGAGATCGTTCTGGTTGTCGCGTGGCTATTAGATTACTTCCTCTTACGTAAAGAAGGAAATCTGTCTCCAAAAGCAGGCAACATGATCGACAAACGAGATACGAACGCAACTGGTAATTATTAATGAATGAAATAGTTCAGCTTTATGAATGATCGAGCGCAGCGAACCGCAAAACAAAAGATGAAATTCTGTAAACGGAACGAACAGTTTCATAACTTTGACACTTAAGAATAGTCGACAATATTCCAGTGGCAATAAATTATTTTTAATATTCATAATATTTATTACATTCGAAAATTTAAAAAAATAAAGACTACTTCTGTTTTAACACCAGAACTACCAAAATAATAATTAGTTATAAAATAAAAGCAACCAAGTTAGACATTAAATTCTTCTTAATGAAAACAGAAGGAGAATAAAGAACAAACATTGAAAAACCGATTAATCGAACAACATAGAAATCGATATAAAGTTAAATGAACGAGAAAAGAACGCAGAATTTTAAATCGTATTTTGAAACCGGTCATTTAACCTCGCGTTACGTTTAGTGTTAATATTCCTTTCTAGTACCACTCGAGCAGCATTACAGAATAATTCAACGCAAATTTCTCGGAATACCCTATAAAAACGGTTATTTGTTAGTCCGAGCGCGGGTCATCGTTTTACTACGGCAAATAACTCAATTCCACTATGGATTTCAAGAAACATTTTCCAGCGAATTCTTCGAATCTTTCTGTAGGATGTATTGCTTCTTTCGTGTTTCTATTCTTTCTTCTTTTTTTCGCGACGAACCCGATGACGATAAATAATTCATCGCGAGCCGCAGCGCGCGAGAAAGAAGGGTAATGCGATTCAGCAAATCAGCTGGGAAACTGGAAGCGAGCGGCGCGCGTTTACGCGATAATAGAAAATTATATTCCGTGAAAAAAGAACGGGAAAAGGGAACGCACTGCGGTGCGCGCGCGCGCGCGCGCGCGTTACCACGGACAGATAAAACCGCGTATGAAAGTTCGGCCTCGTGTGAAAGTCTTCTCTTCGAGCGATTCTCCGCGACGATCTCAGGAAGAGGAGATATCGGCTGAGAGGGACCGACTGTAACGCGCGCGCGCTTAACTATTCCCGTGCGAGAGAGCAACGTTTCTTTTCCTGGACACGTTTTTTCTCTCTCGCGCCTTTCATTAACATTTTATCTGTCTATAGAGTCTTTTAAGAATTGACGATCAGCCGCGCTGAGAATTTCTAAATGAATATTTCAACGGTATTGACAATGGACAGTCGCGGAACAATATGTTATCTTTTAGTAAGGCGATTTAACCGTTTGCCATGCATGTGATAACGAGTGGTGAAGATTTTTTAATTTGGTTTAGTCTTTAAACGGGGATGTGATTTTAGCCTTTAAGTATGGAAATTATCGATTAATGTTAAATATTCTTGCTTGTATATTACTAAATAAGGAAATATATTGTATTCATTTGTTTTTACTTATTTCAGTGTTTCTAGATAGCAATGGCGTTAAGTATATAATGGAAATTTCACTGGTTTCAAAATTCGAAGTCCGGAAATGATTGAATATTCTTGTTTGTAGTACCCAATAAGAAAATTTGTTGCATTTATTTGTTTTTACTTATTTACGTATCTCGACATAGCAATAGTGTCAAGTACATAACGAAAATTTTATCAGTTTCAAAATTCGCGATAGTTTGTATAGAAGTCTGTGATACCGTATGTTCATACTTAGAGGTTAATAAAAATCAATGTTATTCGTTGCATATAAGTTAAATTTAAGACTGTTTTCTTATCTTTCGTATTTTACCATCAAAGTAAGCGTATACTTAGAATGAATAGAAGATTTCTTTGCGTTCTCTTCAATGATTGATAATAAAATAAATCCAACAATAAATAATAATTAGTGATAATAATTATGAAATTAGAAAAAGTTGTGTTAAAAGTGTATTAGATCTATGTTACGTGTTTGATCATGTATTAATGTACATTAATCATTTTTTATATGCCTTTTCTATCCTATATTTCTCAATTTTTCACTTAATATTATAACTCAATATAACACCTTGTTCGTCTATTTACCACTTGAAAATCAGAAAAACCAATACACACGACACGATTACAAAAATGATTGAAATACACTCCAAAAAAAAATATTCCATTTCCAAATAAAGAATTTTCATTTGCAACGTCAAGTGAATATAACGATAATTAACCAATTAAAATTATAAGTACAGCACATTGATATCATAAACGTAAGCATACAATACAAATATAAATACGTACATTAAACATTAAGCATTCATATTTATAAAAACTGGACTGCTTAGTTACCAGTACAATTTATCTTAATTCCATTCGCGGAATTAACGAAGGGTTAACGAGAGAAACGCCGGCGGGAAGAGTAGCAGTGTAACGAACGCCGGAGAAACGGTCTCGGCTGGGAACAACAAGAAGGAAGGAAGGAGGAGAAGAAGGAATAGAGGGAGAGCGGATAAAAACGACGCCG